CCAGACGACATGCAGCGACGAGGCGGCGACAGGGCGGCGACAGCAACTACATAGCGGCCAGAGCGGCACACCAGCCCAGGTCCTTTGCAAAGAAGTGAGCCCCAGAGTGCAACCACTGTTCTGGGAATCATTTCATATACGCCCACATGCACTGTAAATTTCCAATGCGTTGCCACCACGATCCCCCTCTCCGCGTTGTATATTGTCTGCGATTTTCTGGTTCGCCATTCTTGCAGGCATTGCTGCCCACTGGTGCAGAAAGTTGTCATACAACGTGTCATGTGCTTGCTGAATTGACGGCTGCGTGTGTGTGTGTGTGTGTGTGTGTGTGGGTGATCTCGTGGTGGCCTTGCTCTCCGAGGGTGCCCCCTCCGCTCCGCAGGCGACCCTGCTCTGGCGTGACTGGATCCTTTACGGCCCCGACATGGGCGAGGACGAGGAACCCGAGCTGGACCCTGGGTCCTGCACAGCCTGCTAGCTCAGCAGCTTCCTCATCGCCGCCCCCGCCCGTTCAGCGCAGGCGGCTGGGTGAGCGACCCAGGCCTATGAGCCCAGCTTTCAGCATCGTGGTCTCTCCAGGGACCTGTCGCGGCCCCACCGCCCTCGTCATCGGCCAAAGCGCTGACCGCGTCAGCCATGCCACACTGGCCGCCTACCGTTCTGCACTCTCCTTTGGCCTGCCTTTGCCGGCCGTTCGGCCCCCACGCTCCTCGTCCCGGGGGGACGTACCACGCGACCTCCTGTCGCTTTGGGTACGCGCCGGCTCTGCCTCCGCCTTCCATCTTCCAGCTGCGATCGGCCGTGGCATCCAGTAGCGTCTGTGCCCTCCACCGCCTCTGCGCGTCGCGCACGCCTATGCGGTTTCCTTTGCCTTTTGCTCTGTCGGCGTCACGTGGCCACGTCGCCGTACTGCTCGTCCCCGCCTTCGGGCGCTGTCACGCTTTCTCACCCGCCACCCACGCCCAGGTGGCCCATGGCGCGGTCGATCCAATGGAATCCCGCTTCTGAGGGCCCAGCCGCGCGCGCTTTCTCCGTGCTGCTCGCTCGACTTTCTCCGCCTCGTCGCTGCGCGCGAGGCCGCGACCGCCAAAAGTGTGTGTGGGTAGTTTGGTAGAACTTTATTCTGAACCATACGTGTATGTGTATATATATATCTCTATATTTATATATATATATATATATATATATATATATATATATATAGAGATGTTTGTATATGCATGCGTTCACGTACCTATATAACTGTTCGTGTGTATACGTGTGTACCTATGTATACACACATACACTCATGTGCCTGCGGCAAGTCCCGCCACCGTGTCAGTCCAGCATGTTGGGTGGCGACTAATCGATGGGGCACGGGAGACCGTTATGTGTGACTTGTCGGGTTCCTTGAAGATTCTGGGGGCCTCTTGATGGGTTCTTGTCTGCTTGTTGGTGCCTCTTGGCAGCGTCTTGAGGGCACCTCGGGGGCTCTTGGGGGCTCCTTGGACCGTCTGAGGACGCTCTTGGGCCCATCGTCTTGGGGCTCTCTTGGAAACCTTAAGGCCGTCCGGGCGCCTTCCTGGGCCGACTTGGGGTCCTCTTGGGCCGCTAGTGGGCCATCTTGGCGCCCTCTCCGGCCGTCTTAGGGCCCTATTGGTGCCCTCCTGGGCCGTCTTGAGGCCATCTTGCAGGCGCTGTCTTGAGCCGACGTAAGCTCGAAACAGCGAGACTGCTCGAAACGGCGACACTGCGAAGATCCTCCCCAAACCGATGGGCAATCAATGATTTTGGCCTCGTCAGGCTTGGCTGGAGGCTCTATTGGATCCCTCTTGGTCCGTCTTGGGGGCCTCTTGGGCCGTCTCGCGGCCATCTTGGGCCATCTGAGGCCGCCATGGAGGTCTCTTGGACCACCCTGGCGGCCTTGGTGGCAACCTTGGGCGTCTTGGGCGCCTTGGAGAGCGCCATGGAGGCGTCTTGGCCGTCCAGGGAGCCCCAGGATTAGCGGTGGTACACGCGAGGGGGCGCGACATTGGGGCGGGGGGGTGGGGGGGGTCCTTCAGAAGACTACAGCGGCCCTGCCAGACAGTGCTTGGCATTCTTCCACGCCTCAGCGTTCACAAGGCACGGTCGGTGGCGGATATCAAACGATAGGTCCAGTGCAGGAGGCGCAGAGAGAGAGAGAGAGAGAGAGGGAGAGAGAGAGAGAGAGAGAAAGAGAGAGAGAGAGAGAGAAAGAGAGAGAGAGAGAGAGCGAGAGAGAGAGAGAAAGAGAAAAGAGAGAGAGAGAGAGAAAACGAGTCGGGACGGCGATCGTTCTGCGCACACCGAGCTGAGTAGCACTTTGCCCGCAGCGCGTGGCGACTCGTGGAGGCGTGCTGTCGGGCGGAAGGATGCCGAGATTGTCCCCCCGTGCTCGCACCCCTCGAGGAGGTCTGCTCCGAAGCCCACCCCCCCGATGCGCATCCCGCCCAGACACCTGGCCGCTCCAATTCCCAACCCTCCTGTAGTGTTGGGTCCTCGTTTTGAAGTGACAGCGCCCCGCGTTCTTCTCCTCCTCCTCCTCCTCCTCCTCTCCTCCTCCTCCTCCTCCTCCTCCTCCTCTCCTCCTCCTCCTCCTCCTCTCCTCCTCCTCCCCCTCCTCCCTCCTCCCATCCCTGCCTCTGTCTCTCCCACCGAGCACAGCGTTTCGTGGCCCCATAGGGAGCTCCACTGAGGGACCCATTGGCGGTGCCCGCATGCGTCTCCCCCACCCAGCACAGCGATTCGTGGCTCCATAGGGCTCCACGTACGGCCCGGTGGTGTCCACATGCGTCTCCTCCACCCAGCACGGCGCTTCGTAGCCCCATAGTGAGCTCCCCCCGAGGCCCCAGTGGCGGTGTCCACATGCGTCTCCCCCATCCAGCGCAGCGTTTCGTGGCCCCTTAGGGAGCTCCACCTCAGGCCCCAGTGGCGGTGTCCACATGCGTCTCCTCCATCCAGCACAGCGTTGCGTGGTCCCATAGGGCCCCAGTGGCCGTGCCCACATGCGTCTCCCCCACACCCCGCACAGCGAGTCGTGGCCACATAGGGAGCTTCTCCTAAGGCCCAGTGGTGTCCACATGCGCCTCCCCCACCCAGCACAGCGCTTCGTAGCCCTATAGTGAGCTCCACCCAAGGCCCCAGTGGCGGAGTCCACATGCGTCTCCCTCATCCAGCGCAGCGTTTCGTGGCCCCATAGGGAGCTCCACTGAGGGACCCAGTGGCGGTGCCCACATGCGTCTCCCCACCCAGCACAGCGATTCGTGGCCCCTTAGGGAGCTCCACCTCAGGCCCCAGTGGCGGTGCCCACATGCGTCTCCCCACCCAGCACAGCGCTTCGTGGCCCCTTACGGAGCTCCACCTCAGGCCCCAGTGGCGGTGTCCACATGTGTCTCCCACACCCAGGCCCCATAGGTAGCTCCACCTAAGGCCCCAATGGCGGTGTCATGCATCTCCCCCACCCAGCACAGCGCTTCGTGGTCCCATAGGGAGCTCCACCTCAGGCCCCAGTGGCGGTGTCCACGTGCGTCTCCCCCACCCAGTACAGCGTTCGTGGCTCCAGGGGGCACTCCACCTCAGGCCGCAGGGGCGGTGTCCACATGCGCCCCCTCCATCCAGCACAGCGTTGCGTGACCCCATAGGGAGCTCCACCTAAGCCCCCAGTGGCAATGTTCGCGTCCACCCCCACCCAGTACAGCGTTTCGTGGTCCATAGGGAGCTCCACCGAAGGCGATACCCACAACTGCGTTACTCACAACTGCATCTGTTTGGGTCCTTCGCTAGGTATTCTTTTCGGTGCGTGGGCTCTGGAGGTCTGGACCGTTTCCTTGTGGCCAGCTCTGCTTCCCGAGTCTTTACTTGCTGCTGCAATTTTTTTTGAGCGTCGTCGTTTGCTTTCGCTCGCATTTGTGCGCTGACGCGCTGAGGTAAAACAGTTCATCGGGGCGTCGGATCTCTGGGTCCCGTGCTGTGCTCTGTCGAGGCAGCAGCGCTCGGGTCGCGCGCCCGCTTGCGAGCGGCGCCGGGCGCGTGGCCCGCCTCCAGACGAGCGCGGGCGCCTCGGCGCGTGGGCCGAGGCTGCCGCCTCGCCCTGGACCGCGACTAGCCGCACACAGTTGTGAGCCCGTTGGGAGATCCGTCGCTCCAAACAAGTTGGAGCAGCTGGTTGTTAGTCTTTTTCGGCTTCCGGGGTCCCTCGCCGGGCCTCGGGGCCGTCAAACAACGATTCAGGACGAAGAGCCGGCCCTGAGAAAGTGGTCCAGACCTCTGAGGCCCACGCATCGGAAAGATTGGGGCAGCCCGTTGTCTGAGTTGTCCGACTGCATCTGTTTTTGTGGCGTCCCGGCCCGCGCGCGGCGACGGGGCGTAGAAAGTCGAGTGCAAGCAGCGTAGCGCGCGCGTCTACGCCGGGCTGTTAAAAACCGACTCAGGGATAACACCGATCCTGGGGAATGTGTCGAGACCTTTGGAGGTCCACGTCGTGAGAAAATCATGACGTCGGAGGTCTTGGTACTCGGACCGAGGTTTCGGTCGGAAGGTGTGAGGTCGAAAGAAAGGCACGCATACGGACATATTGATGCGGACATGCGGAAATACAGGCTGGCAGACAGAGGCATCTGCGTTATGTATGCACATCGTGTATATATATATATATATACATATATATATGTACACATGGTATTAAATATGCGTGCAGGCATGCAGACTGACTGATAGTCACAGGCGGGCACTCAGATCCAGTCACTGATTCAATACATGCGGGAGGTTCTCGCTGCAGAGTCACGCAGGCACAGTAAGTCGAGTTGTGGGCGCGCGTATTATGTGTTGTGGATATCGTGTCTCAGAATTCACAGGATGTGGCCAGAAAGCCAAGTATACACTGCTTCCTGTCAGAGGGATGATGCTGATGGGTTCTGATGGATGAGACATGCTCTGAAATAGTACGCCCGCGTCGGTTCTCCATCCTGAACTCGTGCCTGGTCGTCTTGTTCTTGTCTGGCATGCTAGCCATGATCTTGCTTCGGACGCTGTGCCGAGACATCGCCAAGTACAACGAGAAGGCGGGAGCGATTCAGAACATAGTTTATGCGAGAAGGGATTTTTCAGGCGGCGAAGCCGATTTCCAGTGCTTTCTGCACCCGCCGACCAAAGGGATCAGGAAGCCAGTTGCCTGGCGACGGCTGGTGTTTTGTATAGAAGGGCTGGGCCGCCCGAGTCGCCCAGTACGGGGAGGTCAAAGATGAACCAGTGGGCGTCAGTATGTTCTCGTGCGGATGTTGCTGGGCTTATACTGAGCTCAACACATTCTCGTCGCTCGGACGTAGCGGATCTAGAGTGATACCCTTGTAAGTCCCGGCGAGTCTCACGCAAGCCGTTCCGGTGTTTCCCTACAGTCACATGAATATGTTGAGAGTGAACTGTTTGACGTCCTGTGGGGCGCGGGCCACTAGCGCACGTCCATTGGCACGTTCCGTAGCGCGTCCCCTTGGCACGTTCCGCGGTGCGACCCCATGGCACGTCCCCTGGCACGTCGCCTGGCGCGTCCCTTGGGACGTTTCGCGGCGCGTCCTCCTGGCATGTCCCCCTGTCAATTAGCTCCGGGGCAGCTACTATGTGTTCAGGCAGCTCGAGTTTAAGATCCAGATCATTTCGGTCAGGACTCGGATGCAAAGGAGGACTCGATCCACGACGCTATAGAGCACAATCGCGGCATGGCACATCGCAATTCAGCACGGCGCAGCACAGCACAGCCTTCGGCAGGGTACATCAAGATCAATGCACTCAGCATTGCATTTGCCCGTCACCCAATCAGGTGTCTTTGAAAACGTTGCCATACGTTACATTTCTATATTCCTTTCTGGGTTCGTGGGTCGATCATATTTAGGGTGTCCAGAGCCGTTTCAGGGGCCTGTTGGGCTGGCTTTGGCTGTTCTGGGCTGGGGCTTTCTGGCGGCCTTTCGGAGGAGAGATAGACAACGGGCAGGGACAAGGTGAGGATGTGCGAAAGATCGCTTTCTGCCGTTGCTGGCACGGGGGGGAGGAGTGTTCAAACCCTCCTCCCCCCCTGGGAAGATGAGGGAGGGGGTTCTGGGGCCCCCTTTTTCCCTTGGGAAAATTAGTGGGGGGCTCTGACACCCCTCCCCCCCCTCCCTCCCATCCCTCGCCCTGGGAGAATCATCAAGGTGTCCACAACCCACACCGTCCCCGCGGCGACGACGACGACGACGACGACCGACGACGACGACGACGACGACGATCCCGAGGACGACGACGGCGACAACGACGACGTTGCCGGCGCCGACGCCGACGCCGACGCCGACGCCGACGCCGACGCCTGCGACAATAACGACGACGACGCACGTCGCACGACGCATGACGCACGATGCACGACGACGCCGACGACGCCGACGCCGACACCGACGCCGAAGCCGACGCCGACGGCGACGACAACGACGACGGCGACGACGACAACGACAACAACGACGACGACAACGACAACGACGACGACAACGACGTCGCCGACGCCGACGACGACCACGACGCCGACGACTTCGACGACGTCGAAGGCTCCGCCGACGACGACGAAGACAACGACGAGTCCGACGACGACGCCGACAACGACGACACCGACGATGTCAACCACGCCGACGCCGACGACGCCCACGACGCACGACGCACGACGCACGACGCGCGACGACGACGATGCCGACGCCGGCGCTGACGCCGCCGCCGACGACGACCGCGCCGACGCCAACGACGATGACGCCGACGGCGACGACGACAGCGCCGACGCCGACGACGACAACAATGACGGCGACGACGCCGACGACGCCGACGCCGACGACGACGCCGACGACTTCGACGACGTCGACGGCGCCGCCGACGACGAAGACGACGACGAGTCCGACGACGACGCCGACGCCGACACCGACGATGTCGACCACGCCGACGCCGACGACGCCGACGACGCCGACGCCGACGCCGACGACGACGATGACGACGAAGGCGAAGACGACTAAGATGGTGCCGAAGCCAACGACGGCGCCGACGCCGCCGACGACGACGACGACGACGACGACTACGACGCCGATGACGACGATGACTACGACGCCGATGACGACGATTACGACGCCGAGGACGACGACGACGTCGACGCACGACACACGAGGCGCGTCGAAGACGACGACGGCGACGTCGACGGCGACAGCGACAACGATGACGACGACGACAGCGACGACGCCGACGACGACGTCGACGACGACGCCGACGACGACGTCGACGACGACGCCGACGCCGACGACGACGCCGACGACGACGATGATGACGACGACGCTGCCGGCGATGACGACGACGCCGAGGTCGGCGACGACGCCGACGACGACGATGATGACCACGACGCTGCCGGCGATGACGACGACGAAGGCGAAGACGACTAAGATGGCGCCGACGCCAACGACGGCGCCGACGCCGCCGACGACGACGACGACGACGACGACTACGACGCCGATGACGACGATGACTACGACGCCGATGACGACGACGATTACGACGCCGAGGACGACGACGACGACGTCGACGCACGACACACGAGGCTCGTCGAAGACGACGACGGCGACGTCGACGGCGACAACGACAACGATGACGACGACGACAGCGACGACGCCGACGACGACGTCGACGGCGACAACGACAACGATGACGACGACGACAGCGACGACGCCGACGACGACGTCGACGACGACGCCGACGACGACGTCGACGACGACGCCGACGCCGACGACGACGCCGACGACGACGATGATGACGACGACGCTGCCGGCGATGACGACGACGCCGACGTCGACGACGTCGATCACGACGACGACGACGACGCGCGGACGCCGACGCCGACGCCGACGCCGACGCCGACGCCGACGCCGACGACGTCGCCGACGGCGACGTCGACGGCGACGGCGACTGCGGTAACGACAACCGGAAAGACTATACGGCGATGTCGACGCTGCCCACGACGACGAGGACGCCGACGACGACGGCCCAGACCCCCCCGATGATTTTCCTCGGTGGGAGGGGGTTTCCAGACCCCTCCCGCTCATTTTCCTCGGGGGGAGGGGGGGGTCTAGACCTCCCTGAGTAATTTTCCCAGCGGGGGGGGGCCCAGATCCTTTAGGTTCTTCCCGGGAGGTGGGGGGGTGGTTGGGGGCGGAGGGGTTGGGGGGGGGGAGGGGCCCCCGTGTTTCTGACCTCCCCCTTCGGAGTTTTTCCCGGGAAGGGCGGGGGCCCAGGATTCTCTTTTAGCTGTTTACCCTCCGAATCGACGGCTGTGGGGCCGGAGGAATCATGTGCTATAAATAACGAGGTCGCCTAGGGCCGGCGGTATTTATTTTGAGGATGTCTCGAGCGAAACGCTTGTTTTTCATAATTTGTTGAGGGTGTCTCGAGCGAAACGCTTGTTCTGTGTTATAGATTGTCCTCTCCTGGGGGCCAGAATTCAGAGGATCTCTTAAGTGAAATGCTTGTTTTCACGTGCCCAGCTCTTGAGGATGTCTCGAGCGAGACGCTTGGTTTCACGCGTCCAGGTTGTCCGGGCAGAGGTCTAGCGCCAGGATTTGTTGAGGATGTCTCGAGCGAGACGCTTGGTTTCGCGCGTCTTCGTCGCCCAGGCGGATGTCTAGCATGAGGATGAATTGAGGAAGTCTCGATCGAGATGCTTGTTTGTACATGTCCAGGTTGCCCAAGCGGATGCCTAGCATGAGGATGTGTTGAGAATGTCTCGAGAGATACGCTTGTTTTCACGTGTCCAGGTCGCGCAGGCGGATGTCAAAAAACATGAAGATGTGTTGAGGATGTCTTGAGCGAGACGTTTGCTTTCTCGTGTACAGGTCGCCTAGGCGGATGTCTAGAATGAGGAGGTGTTGAAAACGTCTCGAGCGAAACGCTTGTTTTCACATGCCCAGGTCACCCAGGCGGACGTCTTACATGAAGATGTGTTGAGGACGTCTCGAGCGAACCATTTGTTTTCACGTGTCCAGTTCGCCCAGGCGGATGTCTAGCATGAGAATGTGTTGAGGATGTGTTGAGCGAAATGCTTGTTTTCACGTGTTCAGGTCGCTCAGGCAGATGCCTCTAGCATGAGGATTTTGACAGGATGTCTCGAGCGAAACGCTTGTCCCCAGCACGTTCCGTAGCGCCCCGCGGTGCGACCCCATGGCATGTCCCCTGGCACGTCGCTTGGCGCGTCCCTTGAGACGTTCCGCGGCGCGTACTCCTGGCATGTCCCCCTGTCAATTAGCTCCGGGGCAGCTACTATGTGTTCAGGCAGCTCGAGCTTAAGATCCAGATCAGTTCGGTCAGGACTCGGATGCAAAGGAGGGCTCGATCCACGACGCTATAGAGCACAATCGCGGCATGCCACATCGCAATTCAGCACGGCGCAGCACAGCACAGACTTCGGCACGGTACATCAAGATCGATACACTCAGCATTGCAACCTGGCACGTTCCTTGGCACGTTCTGTGGCGCGTCCCGTGGCGAGTCCCCCTGGCACGTCGCGTGGCGCGTCCCCTGGCACGTCCCGTGGCACGTCCATTGGCACGTTCCGTAGCGTGTCCCATTGGCACGTCCCGCGGTGCGACCCCATGGCACGTCCCCTGGCACGTCGCCTGGCGTGTCCCTTGTAACGTTTCGCGGCGCGTCCTCCTGGCATGTCCCCCTGTCAATTAGCACTGGGGCAGCTACTATGTGTTCAGGCAGCTCGAGCTTAAGATCCAGATCAGTTCGGTCAGGACTCGGATGCAAAGGAGGGCTCGATCCACGACGCTATAGAGCACAATCGCAGCATGGCACATCGCAATTCAGCACGGTGCAGCACAGCACAGCCCTCGGCAGGGTACATCAAGATCGATACACTCAGCATTGCAATTGCCCGTCACCCAATCTGGTGTCTTTGAAAACGTTGCCATGCGTTACATTTCAATATTCCTTTCCGGGTTCGTGGGGAGGTTGGGGGGGAGGGGCCCCCGTGTTTCTGACCTCCCCCTTCGGAGTTTTTTCAGGGGGGAGGGTACTTCCTCCTCCTCCTCCTCCTCCGTCCGTAGCCATTTTGGCTCAAGCCATTTTGGCCCAAGATGGCACGCGATCGCGAGCGCAGCGTGGAAACCGCTAGTCCGCGGCCAGTCCCAACTGTCTTGCAGCCTCACCCAGGGACGAACTGCCGTCCATTCCTGCGTTCTTTCCCGGCGTTGCAGGCCGCCTTTCATATTGCTGTGTGTCTCGCGCAGAGCATCCAGTCCGTTTCGAGCCCAGTGCCGAGCTTCCATATTCCCGCATCGTGCGCAGTGCCGTGCGTTCATATCGAGCCATCGTGTGCTGCTCCTGGCCAGTCAACGAGAGGCAGACAAGTACGCAGTGGTCCTGCAGTGTACCTGGCCAGTGGCGTATCGTTGAACAGCACCCTGATACCCGTTGCCAGCATTACAACATCAGGTCCGCAGCCTCCTCGGGCAGGGACGACCACTCCAATGGCTCCACGTCTCGCAGCCGCCGAGAGGACCGTCACCAACGCCACGAAGATTCCCGCCGCGACGGTCGACGTCATGTTGGCCGCCAGCATCGACGGGAAGAACCCCGCAGAGATGGCAGACGCGCTGCTCGCGAACTCCTAGAACACCGTGGAAACACAGGGTTCAGCTGTCAAGGCCCTGCAGGTGCTCCACAGCAGGAACACCGAGCCGCAGGACGGGGCACTGTTCGCCATCCGCCGACACCGACACGCAGATCAGCCAGATCAGGAGGAAGTGCCGCGCCCGAAGCCCCCGCCGTGTCCATGGAAGAGATCGCGAAGCCTCCACCTGGTCCTGCTATTCATGACTCGCTTCAGGGCGACGCTGACCCATGGGCCAACGCCAAGTGCGTCGAGCAGCAGTTGGGGCCTGCAGCCGCCGAACAACTTGCCCGAGATATCGAGATGGTTCCTACCTTCGCTTCCCAACCTGCTGCTGCGCCAGCCACCCCAGTCACTGGGCACGCTACTCCTGGATCACAACACGAACCACGTCCCGCACACCAAGAACGACATGGACCTCTACCTGGGATACCTGAAGATTTCGATATCGCTGTACGGAAACTGATGCATCGACAAATTGCCACTGCCGCCTCCCGATTTCAGGAACAAGCTGACCAGCTCCTCGCATAACCTCGCGGCAGTTTCCGCCTTCTCGTTCAACGTCAAGTCTTCGCTGCAGAACGCCGAGTGGATGTGCTCCAGGACGAAGTCGCTCACGCCCGCAGAGAACAAGACCGCCAAGCGTCATAACAGCAGCGAATGTGGCAACATATCGACCATATGCGCGACGCACTTGCCCCCGCCGAAGCACAGACTCCGATCGCAGACCTCAGCCGCCTTGCCGAAAGGGGCCGTCAGCCCGACCCGGCGCTCTTCGTCGTGGGCTTCCGGCGCCTCCTGGCCCCGAGCGTGGTGCCCAACGACCTCCAGGAATGGAGTGCAGAGGCCAACCTCCAGTCCAATCGCGTGGAACTACTCGGAGACGGCGAACCTGCCCGCCTTTCGTCCTACATGTCAGAGGAGACAGCGCTGTCGCAGTACCCCGTGCTCTGGCTCTCTCGCGCGCAATGCGCAATGCAGCTGGCCAGTGGAAGCGGTTTGCATCTACTGGCGCAACGGGCCATCCAGTCGACATCGACATCAACCCTGACAAGTCCCCCAATCACATCAGGATAGATGTGCAGACCAAGAAGCTCCTTCAGCTCTTGCAGCAGCGCTACCCTCGCCAGCGGTGGAGAGCCTTCCGCGCCAAGGGGGCGATCCACTTCGACTCCATGCCTGTCGCCAAAATCATTATCCGAGGCCAGGCAGGCCGCCTGCGGCAGGCCCATCTTCCAGTGGAACGAGAGAGCCTTCGACAACCCGCAGTGCCAGTCCATCGACCGAGGCAGCATCCCCACTTCCTTCCAGGCGCTCTTTGCCGACGCGGAGTCGTCCACCTGGCGCGCGTGACCCTCGTCGCGCCCCTCGGCAGCTTGTCGTCGCTGCAGTGCCGGCCGCCATCGGTTCATAGAACACGCGTGCCAACTTGTCCTGCTCGGGCAGACGCTACATCCACAAACTAGCCGCCGTCAAGCACATGGAACGCAAGCACGAGGTCACGCTCCTGGAAGTCCACGGCTTCGTGCGCATCAAGCTCGACCCCGAGTTCATCGAGCTGCCCGCGATCATGCGCGCTGTCGCGAGCGCGCCCATGGCCATCATTAGTGTCAACCTCGCCGAGTACATTTTCGCTGCCATGTCCAAAGTCGAGCTGCCGTCCATTCCTGCTGATTATACCTGCGTTGCTAGCCGCCATGCATATCGCCTAGTGCGTTGTCCCGAGCTTCCATATCGTCTTGAGCCCCATGCCGAGCATCCATATCACCGCATCGAGCTTCGTGCCGCGCGCGCATCAATGTCGCCTCGTCGTGTTTGGCCCTGCGCCAATTAATAAGAGTCATTCAAGTGCACGATGGTTTCGAGGTGGCCCTGGCCAGTGGTGCAGCTCCGAGCAGCACCTTCCTCTTTCGATCACGTCAGTCGAGCTCGCCATCAATCCTAAGGGTACATGCGATGTTACGCTTCTCTCGGACGCTCGCGCCAGGGTCCACGCGATCATGGCCGCCACCTTTGGAATCAAGACGCGCCAGCCGCTTATCGAGCAGTCCGTCCTACTGTCGATCTCCGATGCGCCGTTCCTCATCGTCGGGATTAAGCCGCTGTTGCCGCTGATCGAGCGGGTCATCCACACGTCGATCTCCCACGACCAGTACTGCACCGTCTATTCCCTCCAGCTGCTAGTTGCCGCGAAAGCCATCCGCGTCCACATGGGCACCCGCTGGTACTCGCACAAGAAGATCATGGCTGGGGCTGTCCTGCTTGTTCGTTACGATTGGGTCCGCAAGTTCACCCGTGATGCCGATATGTCGGACCCCCGAGCTGGGGGCGTCCTCATTGCGCGCATCATTTCCAGGGCCGTCTGGCGACGGGATCCTCAACTCGCGCTTCGCGTCGCCACCGCCGCCGCCCCACGTGCTAAATCCCTCCCGATCGACAACGACACCTCCGCGCTCCGCGTCCACATTGCCCTCCACAAACAGACCGTCCAGGCGCGCCCTGACTGCGAGACCAACGGGGCCGCGCCACGCGCTCGCTGGCAATCCGCATTCGACGCGAAGCACGCCGACATTGCCAACATCACCGGCTACATCCTCACGCGCCTGCCGATGGTAGTCCCCGTCGTCGTAGGGGCGACCGCCGGGCCGCAGCTCCAGGCCCTCCTGAGCAGTGCACCCCCGTCGGCATCTGGTCCAGTCTTTCTGCCGTGCTGCGTCTGGCTCGCGCGCGAAATCTCGCTTGGCATGTCTGAAGTTCTCTCCTCCTTCCTCTTCTCGGGCCAGTGCTACCTCCGCGACCTGAACGACCCCGTCTTTGCTTTCCTGCTGAAGGGCGATCATGCGCAGGGCGAGATCACCAGTGACAGTGCGCCCGTGGACTCTCACCCTCTCTCGTTGAAAAACGTGGGCATCAGAGCTATCGCAGGTGCCGCTAATCCTTTGATCAAGAGCGCGGTGACAAAGCGCGATCACATCGCCCAGCAGTGCTTCTCCCAGGGGCGCAACTTCACCGAGCTCATCGACTATTGCGACGCCGTGAAGTGCCGTGCTGGATGGCTGCCAGTCGCCACCGACTGCAAGCTTGTTGTCGCCAGCCTTGTCTTCTCGGACACCGCGAACCTCTCTCGCGCCATGCGCTTCGCACCATCCAGCTGCGTGAAGTCCAACGGCGAGCGCCGCGACATGATCGTAATCGGCTCTGGAGTGGTGCAGTGTTGCCCTGCCTCAGACGTTGCCTGGGCGATAGCCGCGGACCCGATCACCCGCCTCTTCGCTCTGTTTGTGAAGTTCACGAACGGCACGCCGAACCTGGACATCGACCTGCTAACGAACCCGATCGACACGCGGAGCCAAGTGACCACTCTGTTTGCCGCTACGGAGGAGCATGCGCTCCTCTTTGTGAAGCCACGCAATTGTTTTTTCGTGCCTATCTGGTCCGACGCCTCCCCAGCCACCATCGCCCTCCCGAAAGCGCTCCTGGCCGCTCTCGGTCCTCCTTGGGATTGCCCTTCGGTCGCGGGGCGAGCCGAGCTCCTGGGCTCGCTTTTCGGACCCGAGGCCTCAATGGCCTGTCTAAGGCTCGCCGTTGGGCAAACATAGTGGCAGCGGGGCAATTTACTTAAGCATAGGCAGAGTGGCAGCACTGCCACTGCCCGCATTTACAATGCATCAGTGCTGTCCATGTCCAGTTATGTTTCGCAGTTCTCCCCCCTTGACCCACCCCTCCGTTGCGCGCTGTGAACTGCGCGTAGTCGTTCAATCCATCCTGATGCCAGCTGTTGCCTCTGATCCGTGCTTTGCAGCAGAGTCGCCCCCAGGTGCATGGGATCCTTTTCTGGTCTTCCCAAGCAGCCGGCGTGCAGTGCTACCGCTCCCTCATGCGTCACGCAGCTCAGTTGCCCTTCTCGTGCCAGTCCAATGCCGCTGCCGCCGACGCCGCCCACGATGAGCAGAGCAAGGCAGCTGCCGCGCGCCCGTTCCGCCGTGCCAAGTTCCAACGCATCTATGCAGTCAAGCTACGCGAACAGTCCCTCAAGCCGCCTTTCGCGTCTATGCCTGCCAAGCGCCTCCAGTCTGGAGCCTTCAAGCGCCCCTGGTACATGGTTGACTGCAGAAGCGCTGGGAGGCGCTGACCGACGCTCTCAAGTAGATGCGCCCGAGCGGGCGCTGGGCTACGTTCAAGACCCTCAGCATTGTTGGGACTGCCGCAGCGAGGATGCAGACTTTTCAGCAGCGCAAGTGCGCGTTCGGATGCACGGGCGCGCCTGAATCATTCCCACACCACCTCTTCTGGCTCCCTGACCTCCCCCTCATCCAATCACCGCTGTCGGCATGGGGGCTGGGCACGGCCGCAGCAGATGCAGCTGACCCCGCCAGCCATATGTCGTTGCCAACCGCGGTCTCACTTCATATTTACTACAAGATCCAACTCACTGCCAGCGCGCGCACGGCGGCTGTCTCGCAAGCAGACCTGGTCGCATCGCGCCGTGCACCGCACGCATTACTATGCAGGTAGAGGCGCTAGGCCAGAGCACGGCGGCAGAGACTAACTCATTTGCCCTCTTCTCGTTCGTGCTCGTGTCCGCCTGTCTTCTTCTTTTCTCAGGGTACTCATACTCCTCCTCCTCCTCCTAGTCCTCCTCCTCCTCCTTCTCCCCCTCCCTCTCCCCCTCTCCGTGGTTTTCGGGGGGCCCCCCACCCCGAAGAGGAAATTTTCTGTCCGGCGACGGTGGATCGCGCTGCCCCGGGTGTGCCACGAAACGCTGCCCGTAGGCGAGGAGAGAGAAGGCGAGGCCCGCAGGAAAGGCAAGACGAAGGGACAAGGGTCGGGGGTGGCCAAGACGGGGTGTGATGACGGTGGGGTGGGAGTCTCATGGCGTTGGCCACGATATTTCCTGAAATTTCATGGTGCCTCTTCTTATTTCATGACGTCCCTGGCCCCCCCTTGGGCCGCGCACGTGCCGCCGGCCACGATTTGCGCCCCCCCCCTCTTGGACGCCCCCTCTTGGCCGCCCCCGAACAGGGGTGGGAGAAAGGATGGGGAAGGGGCGGAGGGAGGCCGGAGAATTCTTAGGAGGCGCGGACTCAGCGTGGCTCGAGGAAGGTGGTGGGAAGGAAGAGGAGGGAAGGATGGAGGATTCGGAGAACGATGAGGAGACGATGGGGTGGAGGAGGGGGAAGTCGAGGAAGGATGAGTAGTAGTATAATTACGATGGGGAGGAAGAGACCAAATGTGTTTTTTTTTCCCGGAAAGGGCGCGGGCCCAGGGTTCTCTTTTAGTTTGTAAACTGTTTCCCGTGCCATGTTGGGGAAGGGCCGGCGGAATTATTCTTTGAGAAATATCGAGGTCGGAAGGGCCGGCGAAATTATATTTGAGGATGTATCAGGCGAAACGCTTGTTTTCGAATCCGCGATCGATACTTTGCAAGGTGCGGGCCACTTTTTTGTTCGTCGTGGATGTCTCGAGCGAAGCGCTTGTTCCGCAGAGTTTGCCAAGGTTGTCTCCAGCGACGCGCTTGTTTTACATGTCCAGGTCAGGCCCCAGGAGGACACAGAAGGGCCCTCTCCAGGAGAGCGACTCCGTATGTTTTTACGTATGTGCCTATAGATTGGTCTTTTCTAGGGGTATGAATCCGTCTGTTTTTACGTATGTGCCTATAACTTTGCCTTTTCCACGGGTGCAACCCCTTGTCCTTTCACGCATGTGCCTTTAGATTGGCCCTCCCCAGGGGTGCGAATCCGTTTTTTTTTTTTTTTTTTTTTTTTTTTTTTTTTTTTTTTTTTTTTTTTTCCCCCCCCCCCCCCCCCCGTCTTTTCTTTTTCTTTCTATTACGGATGTGCCTACAGATTCGTCCAATGTAGGGATACGAATCCGTATGCTTTTACGTATGTGCCGCCTATAGATTGGCCTCCACCCAGGGGTTCGATTCTGTGTGTTTTTACGTATGTGCCCATGTACTGGCCCTCTCTAGGGGTGCGAATCCCTGTGTTCTTACTTGTGTGCCTATGGAGAATCAGTGTGTTTTCGCGTATGGGCCTGAGGGTGTATCTAACATGCTGGCCCCGCGCTGGAACCGTGCGTTTTCACGTGTCTACGCCACCCAAGGGGGGTATCTAACATGGTGGTCCTGAGCTGGAACCATGTGTTTGTATGTGTCCACGCCACCCATGTGGTATCTAACATAGTGGCTCTGAGATGAAACTACGTGTTTTCACGTGTCCAGCGGCACGTCCGTCGCGCGTCCCCTTTGGCACGTCCCGCGGTGCGTCCCCACGGCACGTTCCCTGGCACGTCGCCTGGCGCGTCCCTTGGGACGTTCCGCGGCGCGTCCTCCTTGCGTGTTCCCTGTCAGTTAGCTCTGGGGAGCTACTATGTGCTCAGGCGGCTCGAGCTTAAGATCCAGATCAGTTCGGTCATGCAAAGGAGAACTCGATCCACAACACTATAAAGCACAATTGGCATGACACATCGCAGTTCAGCACGGCGCAACCCAGCACATCCCTCGGCACAGTACATCAAGATCGATACACTCAGCATTGCAACCTGGCACGTTCCGTGGCGCATCCCGTGGCGAGTCCCCCTGGCACGTCGCGCTGCGCGTCCCCCTGGTACGTTCCGTGGCACGTCCCTTGGCAAGTTCCGTAACGCGTCCCCTTGGCATGTCCCACGGTGCGTCCCCATGGCACGTCCCCTGGCACGTCGCCTGGCGTGTCTCATGGAACGTTCCGCGGCGCGTCCTCCTAGCATGCCCCCTTGTCAAGTAGCTGTGGGTCAGCTACTGTGCTCAGGCAGTTCGAGCTTACGATCCATATCAGTTCGGTCGCGACTCGGATGCAAAGGAGGACCCGATCCACAACACTACAGAGCACAATCGCGGCATGGCACATCGCAGTTCAGCACGTCGCAGCACAGCACACCCCTCGGCACGGTACATCAAGATCGATACACTCCGCACTGCAACTTGGCACGTTCCCTGACACGTTCCGTGGCGCATCCCGTGGCGAGTCCCCCTGGCACGTCGCGCGGCGCGTCCCCTGGCACGTCGCGCTGCGCGTCCCCCTGGCACGTCCCGTGGCACGTCCCTTGGCACGTCCCGCGGCGCGTCCCCTTGGCATGTCCCACGGTGCGTCCCCATGGCACGTCCCCTGGCACGTCGCTTGGCGTGTCTCATGGAACGTTCAGCGGCGCGTCCTCCTAGCATGCCCCCTTGTCAATTAGCTGTGGGTCAGCTACTATGTGCTCAGGCAGTTCGAGCTTAAGATCCATATCAGTTCGGTCGAGACTCGGATGCAAAGGAGGACCCGATCCACACCACTGCAGAGCACAATCGCGGCATGGCACATCGCAGTTCAGCACGGCGCAGCACAGCGCACCCTTCGGCACGGTACATCAAGATCGATACACTCCGGATTGCAACCTGGCACTTTCCCTGGCACGTTCCGTGGCGCATCCCGTGGCGAGTCCCCCTGGCACGTCGCGCGGCGCGTCCCCTGGCACGTCCCGTGGCACGTCCCTTGGCACGTCCCGCGGCGCGTCCCCTTGGCACGTCCCGCGGTGCGTCCCCATGGCACGTCCCCTGGCACGTCGCCTGGCGTGTCTCATGGAACGTTCCGCGGCGCGTCCTCCTAGCATGTCCCCTTGTCAAGTAGCTGTGGATCAGCTACTGTGTGCTCAGGCAGTTCGAGCTTACGATCCATATCAGTTCGGTCGCGACTCGGATGCAAAGGAGGACCCGATCCACAACGCTATAGAGCACAATCGCGGCATGGCACATCGCAATGCAGCACGGCGCAGCGCAGCACACCCCTCGGCACGGTACATCAAGATCGATACATTCAGCATTGCAGTTGCCCGTCGTCCAATCAGGTGTCTTTGAAGCGATGCCATGTCTTTGATTTCCATATTCCTTTGCAGGTTTGTGGGTCGATCATGTTGTCAGAGGGGAGGGGGACGGGGGATGGAACAGGAATATGATGAGGGTACCGGAGAAACACCATGGAGATAAGAGGAGGAACAGGAGGCATGATCAGGAAAGCGTGCGAAGGAGGGTGAGAGAATTGAAGAGTGCTCGTGCCGTGATTGGATACTGGTAGGAAGTAAAGTATGGCGAGCCTCCTCAGTTTGCTCCTCATGTGCTGCCTCCACCAGCTCCTCTTCTCCCTCCTGCTCCTCCTTTTCTTCCTCCGCTTCACCTTCCTCTTACTCCTCCTCATTTGTATCCTCCCCAGCCTGTCTCCTGCCTCCTCTTCCGTTTGTCTCTTGCGCCCCCTCCTCATCTTCTTCCTCTCTTGATGCGACTCGCCTCCTCCTTCTTCACGTCCTTCCTTTTCCCATAAGGGGCAGAGGCCCAGGGTTCTCTTTCAGTGTAGTAACTTGTCCCCGGTGCCAAGTTCGAAGAGGGCCGGCGGATTCTTTCCCTGATGGCTAACGAGGTTGAAGAGGGCCGGCGGATTAAACATGCCCCAAGCGAAACGCTGGTTTTTGAAATTCCGATCGATAAAACATAGGGTACAGCCAGCATTTTCGTTTGTTGCGGATGTCTCGAACGAAACGCTTGTTTTGTAAAATTCGTTGAGGATCTCTTGATTTAAGCGTTTCTTTTGTGCCATGGATCGTTCCTCTCCTGGTGACTAGAATTCTGAGGATGTCTCAGGTGAAATGTTTGTTTTCACGTGCCCAGGTCTTGAGGATGTCTCGAGCGGGACGCTTGGTTTCACGCCTCCAGCTTGCCCAGGCAGATGTCTAGCATCAGGATCTGTTGAGGATGTCTCGAGCGAGACGCTTGTTTTCGCGTGTCCAGGTCGCCCAGGCGGATGTCTAGCATGAGGATGTGTTCAGAAGGCCTCGAGCGAAACGGTTGTTTTCACGTGTCCAGGTCGCCCAGGCGCATGTCTAACATGAGGGTTAGTTGAGGATGTCTCTCGAGAGATGCTTGTTTTCACGTGTCCAGGTCGCCCAGGCGGATATCTAGCATGAGGATGTGTTCAGAAGGTCTCGAGCGAAACGCTTGTTTTCACGTGTCCAGGTCGCCCAGGCGGATGTCTAACAAGAAGATGTGTTGAGGATGCCTCGAGCGAGACGCTTGTTTTCACGTGTTCAGGTCGCCCAGGCGGATGTGTAGCATGAGGATATGTTGAGGATGTGTTGAGCGAAACGCTAGTTTTCACGTGCCCAGATCGCCCAGGCGGATGTCTAACATGAAGATGTTCGGAGGATGTCTCGAGCGAACCACTTGTTTTCACGTGTCCAGTTCGCCCAGGCGGATGTCTAGCATGAGGATGTGTTGAGGATGTTCAACCAAAACCCCTGTTTTCACGCGCCCAGGTCGCTAAGGCAGATGTCTATCTAGCATGAGGAGGTGTTGAGAACGTCTCGAGCGAGATGCTTGGTTTCACGTGTCCAGGTTGCCCAGGCGGGTGCCCAGCATGAGGATCTGTTGAGGATGTCTCGAGCGAGACGCTTGTCGCAGTAGAGTGCGTCGCAGTCCAACCCCGCCCGTCCGTGGGGCGTCCCCTGGCGCCCTGGCGCGCCCCCTGGCGCGTCCCTTGCGGCGTTCAGGCGTGACGTGCCCTGGCACGTCCCCTAGCACGGCACTCGGCGTGGCACTTTCTCTGGCTCGTCCTCTGTCGCGTTTTCTTGCTCGTCCTCAGGCGTTTCCCCTGCCCTTTTGTGGCGGGCCCCTTGCAACGTCCCTTGGTACGACGTCCTTTGGGCGCCCCATGGCACGCGCTTTGGCACGTCCCGTGGCAGGTCCAGGGCACGTCCCCTGGTGCGTCCCCTGACACGTCCCCTGGCGCATCCCCTAATTATTGCGCCCCTGGCACATCCTGTGGCGCGTCTGTGAGCCTGTGCCCCGCGTCATGTCGTTCCTTTTCGGAGCTGGGTCGGATTTTGAGGTCGAGTTGATTGAACGTCCTCCACGTTTCCACTTCAGCCAGCTCTGGGGCGGCTACTATATGCTCAGGCAGCTCGAGCTTAAGATCCAAATCAGTTTTGTCAGGACTCGACTGCCAGGGATAACTCGATCTACAACACTATAGAGCACAATCGCGGCATGGCACTCCGCAGTTCAGCACAGCACAGCACAGACTGTACACCAAGGTCGTTCAATTCAGTACTGCAATTGCCCGTCGCCCAATCAGGTATCTAGAAAACGTTACCATGCCTCACATTTCCATAGTCCTTTCCGGGTTCGTGGGTCGATCATGTTGATTACCATCTGCAGCGTTTCTCCTTCCTCTTTCTTGTCTTCTCTTTTCCTTAGTGTTCTTTCCGATTTCTCTTCCCCTTCCTCCTCAAGCTCAGGAGGACGCTGGCCCTCCTCCTCCTCCTCCTTCTCCTCCTCCTCCTTCTCCTTCTCCTCTGGCGCGAGGTGAACGCCGAGGAGGCCGCCGAGGAGACGGGCTGGAAGCTGGTCCACGCCGACGTGTTCCGCCAGTGGGAAGGAGGAGGAAAAGGAGGAGGAGGTGGAGGCGGAGGAGGAGGGTGAGGAGGAGGATGGAGGAGGAGCAGCAGCAGCAGGAGGATGAGGAGGGAGACATACTGATACCGCTGCTTTTCCTGGACAGTCCTCGTCACCACGGCCTTGCCATTCTGCTCTGAATGCACCTGGGATTGGTCCTGTGAGTAGCGGTATCGGCTTTCTTCTTCACCCAAAGGGGTAGGAGGGCGGACGGTGGAGGAGCGGCGGGAGGAGCAAGAAGTGATGTCGAGAGAATGCGCTCCGCTCTGGAGGAGCGTGGAGCATGGGGATGACGACCGGGAGGAGGAAGACGACGAAGAGGAGGACAGGATAATGAAGAGCAGGACGAGGACAAGGAGCAGGAATAATAAGAGGAATGGGGCATGCATGGGCAGGGATGAGGAGGATGAGGAGGATGAGGAGGTGGTTGATGAATATGATGATGCTGCTGCTGATGATGATGCTGCTGCTGCTGATGATGATGATGATGAGGAGGAGGAGGAGGAGGAGGCCGTGCTTTGCTAAGCATGATGAGCAGGAGGGGGCAGGATGAGGCGGGGGGGCGTGGCAGGCTCCCGCCCTCCTCCGTCTCCCCTTCCCCCCTTCCATGCTGCTGCTGCCTCCTCAGGCCCAGACCTCCTTACGACCTGGATCGGTCCTGGGAAGGGGTCCAGGCCTTTGGGGAGCCAGTCCTTGGAACAATCACAACGTCGGATGTCCGGGGAGGATGAACATATGTATCCACTCGGTGTTTTTGGAAATCTTTTCCAGAGGTGTCCTGAGGCCTCTAAGGTCCTCCTCTGGAGGCTTCTGGAAACCTCCATGGACGCGACCTGTAAGGACCTCCATTTGGGGAGGAGGACTGGGAGGATAAGGGAGGAGGGGAAGGAGGGGGAGGAGGAGGAGGAGGAGGAGGAGGAGGAGGAAGAAGAGGAGGCGGAGGAGGAGGAGGCGGAGGAGGAGGAGGCGGAGGAGGAGGAGGAAGAAGGAGGAGGAGGAGGAGTAGGCGGAGGAGGAGGAGGAAGCGGAGGAGGAGGAGGCGGAGGAGGAGGAGGAGGAGGAGGAGGAGGAGGACTGTGCCCGAAAACAGTTCCTGGGGCATCAACGCCGTGGTTCAAAGTTTGCTGCGGCCTGACAATCCTGAATTGTGCCAGAGCGCATCTCCTGGAACTCCATCGCGAATCAAAGTGACGGTTTCGTCCTGACCGTGCTAAGTCGTACCAGAACACTTTTCGTGGAGCGAGCACTTCCTACGAATCCTTGAAGCTGTTGTTAGCATTAAAGACGAATTTATGTGGCGCTGAGGCGATAGCCCTACAGGCAGATGTGCGCGGCGCAAGGCGAGACCCACATTTTGAAAACCTCCATCCATCCGTTAGCAGGTGCCCAGCTTTCTAGACGAATTTGCGCGGAGTAAGGCGAGAAGTACATTTTGAAAATCTCCTTCCCTCCATCCGTACAGCTGTTGTGCACTTTCCAGACGAATGCGCGCGGCGCTAAGGCGAGATCCACATTTTGGAAATGGTCCTCCCTCCATCCGTGAAAGTGTTGCAAGCTTTGAGGTCGAATGTACGCGGCGCTAAAGGCGGGAGCCGCATCTGTCAAATGGCCCGCCTTCCATCCTTCAAACGGTTGCAAGCAGGCTTCGAGGTCGAGTGCACGCGGCGCTAAGGCGGGAGGCACATTTTGGAAATGGCTCCGCCCTCCGTCCGTGCAGGTGGTGCAATGTTCAAGCTCCAGGACCATAAACGGCGAGGGCGTCTCAGGCGAAACGCCCGGATCGCCCTACCGACACGTCCGGGGATGCGACGGGGAGGAGCTACTCCAGATTTCGTAATAAAAGGGAGGGGGTCTGGACCCTCCAAGACAAGCCATTTCAGACCTCCCCCGTGGGAGAACCCTCCAAAACATCGTCTCCAGACCCCCCCAGGCCCTCCAAGATAGCTTGGAAAAGTCCCCCCCCCGAAATGAGACCCCCCTCCCTTTATTACGAAATCTGGAGTAGTTGAATTGCGAGGACAAGGCATTCAAGAGGAGCTCTGTTCTTGTCCGTGCTTCCTTGCACCAGCACTCCTGGGTCGCCCATCTGGGCACGAATGTAGGCGCGCTCCTCCGGAGGAGTGGCGCGAGATCGTGAAACGAACTGCTCATCGCGCTCCGCAGGGCGCGGCCCATAGGGGCATGCCACTCAGCTGTAGGTACAAATGGGACTACCTTTCGGATGATGTGAAGGTTCAGGGGGGAGGATGGGTTTTCGGTGCGCGATTGGCGTCCGATCGGTTTCGCGAATTTCTAATCTATCGATCGTGAGCTCCCAGTATGTCGGTCCACACTATCTGTCATCCGATCCCATTACCAACATATCACCCGATCCCTCTATGTCCTGATCTCTCTGTCACTGTATATCTATCGACCTCTCTCTTGAAGTATGTGTGTACATAGATGTGCAAACGGTTTCGGTTCGTTTTCGGCCCCCCGCGATCTTGAGATTTTTGCTGGAAGCTTATATACTTCCTTCCTCCCGCTTTCTCCTCCTTCTCCTCCTTCTCGCTCTTCGATGGTTGGATGATGATTGGATGATGGTTCTTTTCTGCAGTGGTGTGGGTTCGCTGTTCAGCCCCAAGCATGGGTGGCCCCATTCTCACCCAATCCAATCGAATCCCTTTGTGGTGCTTTCCAAACGGTTCCTGTTGTGAGGCCTTCCAATAGAAACCCTTTGCGATGCTTTCCAAAGGATGCCTGTTGTGAGGCTTTCCAATCGAATCCCGTCTTGGTGCTTTCCAGAGGATTCCTGTTTTGGGGCTTTCCAATGGAATCCCTTTGTGGCGCTTTTCAACAGATTCCTGTTGTGAGACTTTCCAATAGAATCCCTTTGTGGTGCTTTCCAATACAATAGAATCCCTTTGTGATGCTTTCCAGAGGATTCCTGTTGTGAGGCTTTCAAATCGAATCCTTTGTTTGTACTTTCCACATGATTCCTGCTGCGCGGCAATAATTCCTGGTGCGAGGCTTTCCAATACAATCCCTTTGTGGTGCTTTCCAAAGGATTCCTGTTGCGAGGCTTTCCAATGGAATCCCTGTGAGGTGCGTTCCAAAGGATTCCTGTTGTGAGGCTTTCCCATCGAATCCCTTTTGTGGCGCTTTCCAATCCAATCGGATTCCTTTGTGGTGCTTTCCAAAGGGTTCCTGTTTTGAGGCCTTGCAATAGAAACCCTTTGCGATGCTTTCCAAAGGATTCCTGTTGTGATGCAGTCCGATGGAATCCCTTAGTGGTGCTTTTTTCCCAAAGACTCATGTTGTGCGACTTTCCAATACAATCCTTTTTGTGGCGCTTCCATCGAATCCATTTCTGGCGCTTTTCAATACAATAGAAATCCTTTGTGTTGCTTTCCAAAGGATGCCTGTTGTGAGGCTTGGCAATCGAATCCTTTGTCTGTGCTTTCCAAATGATTCCTGTTGCGCTGCAATCATTCCTGGTGTGAGGCTTTCCAATACAATCCTATTATGGTGTTTTCCAAAGGATTCCTGTTATGAGGCTTTCCGATGGAATCCCTTTGTGGCGCTTTCCCTTCCCGTAGAATCCCCTTGTGGTGATTTCCAAGGTTTTCCTGGTGTGAGGCTTTCCAATAGAAACCTTTTGCGATCGTTTCCAAAAGGATTCCTGTTGTGCGGCAATACAATATAATTCTTTTGTTGTGCTTTCCAACGGATTCCTGTTGTGAGGCTTTCTGATCTAATCAATTTGTGGTGCTTTCCGAATGATTCCTGTTGAGAGGGCTTTCAATGCAAATCCTTTTGTGGTGCTTTCCAATCCAATCGAATCCCCTTGTTGTGCTTTCCAGAGGATTCCTGTTGTGAGGCTTTCCAATAGAATCCCTTTGCGGCGCTGTCCAATCCAATAGGGCCCTTACCCATCCACTCTGGAGCTCCTCCCCCATCCCCCTTCTGAAGGAACGCACAAACTTGTTGGGAAAACCATAGGACAAACCAAACAAACCAAAGAAACTGAAGAGCCGGAGACAACAACTTTAGGACAACCATAGAAAAAACCATAACAACCCAAAAAACTAAAACATCCACAGAGAGTGCGGGTATTCCCTTTGGACGTGTCCCTTCGGACAGGTGTTCTTCCAATGGGTTTCCTAAAAGTATTCGCCTCCAGCACATCAGTTTTTTTTGTTTCCTCCCCCCCATGATTTGCCCAAAGTTTTTGCATTCCTTCAGAAGGGGGGATGGGGGAGGAGGAGGGGGAGGAGGATGACTGAGAGGACCCTCAGGGAGTAGGTCAGGGGACGGGGTCGTACCTGCGGCGCTGAACCCTCCTTCTGTGGTGCTTTCCCAAGGGATCCTGTTGAGAGGCTTTCCACTGGAATCCCTTTGTGGTGCTTTCCCAAGGGTTCCTGTTGTGAGACTTCCAAATTGGATCCCACACGACGACGAGGACGACGACGAGGACGACGAGGAAGAGAGGACGAGGACGAGAAGGAGGACGACCAGGAAGAGGAGTGATGAAGAAGAATACGCAGGCCTTTCAGCCAAAATCTCAAAATTGCGGGGGGCCGAAAACGAACCGAAACCGAGCAGACACAGATAGATGCAATGGTCCCTCTGTCTATTGATAGACGGGGCAATCACAGGACAACCATGTGACAACCGCGGGATAACCACCGGACAATCCCGCGCACGCCCTGGAGGGCCGGACTGCGACTCATTTTGGCATGACCAGGGCCTCGCTAGAGCAGGAACTCGCGCTCTTCTGCCTCGACCGCACGCACGACGCGAACTGACACCGAAACCGACTTTCCAGTCAGAGGCCTCCGTTTCGCGCCAGTCTTACCCCACATCCCATTTTTTGGCGTCATATGAGGAAGACCCAGACCTCCGATGTTTCTACATCCCGCTGGAGCTGAAGAGATGCCTCCGTCTCTTATATGAGGGCTGGGACCTGAGGGGGGTCAGCGCCGATCGAGGAAATCCGAGCGGACTTTGAGAAATTATGCTTATGTCGTTTGTGTTCCTTCAGTCAAGAATCGACCCGTTCGACCTCCGGGGGCTCGCCAGCATCTCGAGGCGGACCCAGCCATGGCGACGAGGGCGTCCGACGCTTCCCCACAAACAGAGAAAAGGGCCAAGCTAGATCCTGAACCCAGGAGCTGTGTATACGCCCCCCTGGCCACGACAGGAGGGCGTGGCGTATACACCGCCGCTGGGCTCAGGATGGGCCTGGCCAGGGAGCAGTGGATATGGGTAGATCTCGTCGCCCTGGGAAGCCTCGGTCCTCGAGCTCGAGCCTAGGCGTTTGGGATTTGGGAGGCCCGGGCGGCAGCGGCAGCAGGTTCCGCAAGCCTGACTACTCCAAGCTCTTCGTGGTGTGCGTCGGCTCGGGCGTCCGGCTCCCGGCGCGCGCCGGTGCCCCGACAGAGAGGGGGGGAGGGAGGAGGCGAGCGGAGTGCCTCGATGTATGCGCCGTGCCGTCGGGCCAGCCACAGAGCCGATGAGTTCGGCGCAGGAGCTCGAAGAAGGACAAACGCCCTAAACAGAAACTTTCGGCGCTCCGCCCGTATTTCTTGGATCCGCGCGGGCTCCCCCCCGGCGGCGCCTCAAGTGCCGCCCCTGGTACGCTCCGCGCGCCAGGGAGGGGGTCCAGCGCAGATCCAAGGAAATACGCGCGGAGCGCCAAAAGTTTATGATTCTGTTGCTTTTCCTTCTTATGTAGGAGGTGAGCGGAGTGCCTCGATGTACACGCCATGTCGTCTGGCCAGCCACAGAGCTGATAGGTTCGGCGCAGGAGCTCTGTGTGCAGATTCTCTCCTCGCCCCCCTCCCCCTCCTCCCCCTCCCCCTCCCCCTCCACCTCCCCCTCCTCCTTCTTCCTCCTCCTCCTCCTCTTCTTCTTCTTCTTCTTCCTCCTCCTCCTCCTCCTCCCAGCGTCTCACAGGTCTGGAAGCTGGGGCGTCTGCGCTGGGCTCCGTGGCCGACCAGGCGACTTGGTGTATGCGTCGAAGCCCTCCCGGGCGGTGGAGCCCTGACGAGGAAGACCACCTTGGGCTGCTCGGGCCGGGAGCCTCGAGCGCCAGCCCAAGCCCTGTCGCGCCTGGTAGCTGCGGAGGGGGACGGGGGGCAGTGGAGGCGGACGAGCGCGAGAGGAGGGATGGGAGGCAGGAGGGAGGCAGGAAGTAGGATACAGCATGCTGCTGACACACAGAGCTGCATACATCGATACGTCTGTGAATGTGTGCGTCTCGCCTGCAACGCATGTTGCTTCACACTTGGGTGCTGCCTGTGCGTGCCCGTCACCCTGGGCGGATGCATTCAGGCACCGAGGCAGCAAGGCATCGGGTACAAAATTGCGCATATGTGCATTCGGTGCTTGTCGCATGTAACCGATCCTGGCACTCATTCGAGTCGTGTCTGCGCGCCCTTCTTTCTGGGCGAGTGCATTCATATAGAGGAGCGAGATTGCAGCAAAGAAGGGAAGCGGGGAAGGACGAAGAAGGACGAGCACGAGAACAAGGAGGGGAGGCAGGACGACAAGGACGAGCATACGCGAAAGGGCAGCGCGTGTCCACTCACCCAGGGCATTGCACTTCTAGCGGAGTGTACCTGACTGATTTGGAAACTATAGCGCTTCCACTGCTGGATCCATCGAGACGGCCAGGCTATTCTGATGTTACAACGGCCGCTGCGTTCCCAGTGCCAGGATGAGGATGCTGATGATGATTCTGATGATGCTGATGATGAGGAGGAGGAGGAAGATGAGGAGGAAAGACGTAAGGGGGAGTGGAGGCCAGGAAGGTGAAGTAGAGGAGAGAATGGGGAAACCAGCACGACATAATCACAAGAGCTACCTGGCTTCTCAGGGTGGGTCCCGCATGAGGAACATTCATCGAGAGAGGATTCGGATTCCTGGCGGTCAGTCGGCAGACAAGGCATATGCTACTGCATGGATGCTAACAATCACCACCTTCCCAGCTTCCAGGCGTCTTTCGCGGGCTCCGTGGCGTAGGTGGGGGAGAGGGGGGGGGGAAGAGGCGGGGGGGAGGGAGCAGGAGGGAGCAGGAGGGCGCAGGAAGGAGGGAGGGAGCAGGAGGGAAGGGGAGGGGGGAGAGGAGGGGGGAGGGAGCAGGAGGGAGGGAGGGTGGAGGAGGAAGGAGAAGAGGAATTCTTTGAAACTCTTTGCCGCACCACCTGGGATAGCACCGACAGCCAGCAAGAGCACCCACCCCGAGACTGCGCTGTACGCAGAGAGGTGTGATGATGATGATGATGATGATGATGATGATGATGATGATGATGATGATGACGACGATGACGATGACGATGACGATGACGATGATGATGATGATGATGCTGATGATGCTGATTATGATGATGATGATGGTGATTCTGATTCTGATGATGATGCTGCTGATGCTGATGCTGAGGATGCTGAGGATGATGATGATGATGATGTTGACTGCTGATGATGATGACGATGATGATGATGCTAATGATGACGAGGATGATGATGGTGATGGTGGTGGTGGTGGTGGTGGTAGTGGTGATGATGCTGCTGCTGCTGATGCTGAGGATGATGAGGATGCTGATGATGCTTGCAATGGTGATGACGATGATAGTGCTGCTGCTGATGATGACGATGCTGCTGCTGCTGCTGCTGCTGATGATGATGATGATGATGATGATGTTGATAATGATGCTGCTGCTGATGCTGATGCTGCTGATGATGCTGCTGCTGATGATGATGATGAGGAGGCGGAGAAACAGGCTGTTGATGATGATGTTGATGATGATGAGACTGATGATGGTGATGACGATGCTGCTGATGTTGATGATGATGATGATGATGATGCTGATGCTGATGCTGCTGATGCTGATGCTGATGATGGTGATGACGACGACGATGATGATTCATATGATGATGATTCTGATGACGATGGTGATGATGATGATGATGATGATGATGATGATGATGATGATGATGATGATGATGATACACTTCTGCTGATGATGATGACGATGACGATGATGCTGCTGATGATGATGATGCTGATGATGCTGATGATGATGAGGAGGATGATGATGAGGAGGAGGAAGAGGAGGAGGAGGACGGGGAGGAGGAGGAGGAGGAGGAGGAGAAGGAGGAGGAGCAGGAGGAGGAGGAACAGGATGAGGAGGAGGAGGAGTAAGAGCATGAAGACGATGAGGATGACGAGGAGGAGGGGCAGGAGGATAAGGTGAGAAGGAGGGAGCATGAATAGACAGAGGAACGGCATGATTCCGATGTGGGGATTTCAACTAGCGCCTCGCAATGCATGGTATACCAAGCTGATTGCATGGAAGATGAGCAGGAGGGGGATGATAATAGCTGTGATGGGGAATGGACATGGGATGGGGGAGAGGAAGAACAGGGCAGGATGATGAGGAGGAAAACTGGTGATGACCAAGTGTAGGAACATTAGGAGGAGGGGGAGGCCGAGGAGGAGGATCAGGAAGAGGACAGCGACAGAAGGACGAAGGACAAAGGCGAGGACGAGGACAAGGTAATTGGACGAGAAGGGCGAATCTTAGAGGGGGGATGGGATGAGTGCGATGCGGAGGGGAAGGTGGAGAAGGAGTGTGTGTGTGTGTGTGTGTCTGTGTGTGTGTGTGAGTGTGAGTGTGCGTGTGCGTGTGTGTGTGTGTGTGTGTGTGTGTGTGCGTGTGCGTGTGTGCTGGCCCGGGGGGTGGAATGATGGGAAGGGGGGGGGAGGAGAGCTGGTGGGGAGGCGGAGAGGAATGGAGGAGAGCGGGGAGACGGGGACAGGGATGGGGCGTGCAAGGCGGAAGGGGGAGGACGAGGAGATGGAGATGAGGAGTCTTCCATCATGCGCGGAAGGGACACGGGCGGCGATCCTGCCGAGGTCCAGATCCTCCTCATGTCCATCGTGACCCTGATCTTCGCGCTCATGGGCCTGCTCTCGCCCGCCCGCAGGGGCAGCCTGCTGCAGGCATTGCGGCCACCCTTGGCGTTGTCATCGCTGACGCCGCCGCCGTCGTCGAGTCGTCGAGTCGTCGAGGAGGCGGAGGCGGAGGCGGAGGCAGAGGAGGGGGAGGAGGAGAAGGAGGAGAAGGAGGAGGAGGAGGCGGAGGAGGAGGAGGAGGAGGAGGAGGAGGCGGAGGCGGCGGAGGAGGAGGAGGAGGAGGTGGCGGAGGCGGAGGCGGAGGCGGAGGCGGAGGCGGAGGAGGAGGAGGAGGAGGAAGAGGAGGAGGAGGAGGAGGAGATCGTTGTCGAGAAGGTCGTCCTACTCGTCGTCGGGACGCAAGCGAAAAAACGAAGATGGACGATGGCAAAATGAGGACGAGGCAGCCGCGGAGGCAGGAAATCCGGCCCAGCCTTCATGAGCGGCGCGCACAAGGGGGTAGGGGGATGGGGAAGGCCTCTTAGAAGGAGGCTACTTGCCAGAACGCGCCGGCTCTACATCTACAGACAGGGCTTCAACCTTCTACGAAGCAAGCGTGCTGCTAAGAAGCCTTCCCCCCTCCACCTACCTCCCTCTGCACGTGGCTCACTTTGGCACGCAGCTGTGCGGTCGCAACTTCGTCTCTCGCCACCGTGTCGCTCCTCCCCGTCGCACCACCAGGCATCACCGCGCTTCGACCGGCCGCCCAAGGCAGCGGAGGATGGCAGCGGAGGAGGAGGAGGAGGCGGAGGCGAAGGCGGAGGCGGAGGCGGAGGAGGGGGAGGAGGCGGAGGAGGAGGAGAAAGTGGAAGAGGCCCCGGAGGGCGAGGAGTCGAGGACTCTTTTGGGACCTCCTGTCATCGGAGCATCGGGGAGGGGCACGATTATTAGATAACCGATGTACACGGACCTACAGGCCCGAATATGTCCTGGGAACAGTTCCAGCGCTGCCGCTGCTCTTTGAAATGATCACCCGCCGCAGCTGTTTTCGGCCCGCGTCGACTTGAGAAACATGGTCGAGAACGGGATAAACGGCTTTCGACTAAATGCCCTCGCTTAGGATTTGGGTACAGCCCTCGCTGAGCCCTAGGCCAGCTGCTAATGCGGTGGATGGCTCTCATCCTGCGTTTGCAGGTGTCCTCCAGTCCCATTGCCCGGAGACCTTCGGAAAGACCCCCGCACTCTATGCATACGGCAAGGACGCCTTTGGCATGCTCTGTCACATATATACAGGGTGTGGTTCAGCTGATTGTTGTAAAGGGCTTGGACGAGTTTGCCAAATCTTACGCATAGCTCAACGAGTGGTGGATCCTGAAAAGGTTCGCTTCTGGCACTGGCTGCAATGCCAAGACTTGTTATCGTGCTTGGGCTCATCCCGATGTGCGTCGGGGGTGAGGACGGGGAGCAAGCTGAGCAAGGAGCAGTGGCAGGAGCAAGCTGAGCTCCTTGTGTCGAGAGGGCCTGGCCCAGCATGTGGTCCGCGTCAGCCATGAAACCGCCACTCCCCTACCAGCGCTAGCTGCCCTGGCTGAATTCCGCTTATTGCCATAAACTTCGGAGGGCTAGCGTTTTGACATCTCGGCTATCTGCTAGATGCTTCAGGCTTGACATCTCGGGCGGCAACTTGATCCTCCAGTCTCTGGCCGCCGGGGGGCCCGCATCGTAGTACTGTAGGGCTCGTACCTTAGCTGCCTACGCAGCCGCCCGATTATTGTCTGCATCAAACCAAGCATCCTGACCACGGTTGGAAGATTTTGGGTCGACATGGGCAGGAACGCCAATCGCGTTGAGATCGCGGGGCCCTCGCCCGAGGGCCATCACGCTCATGTCCCAACAAAGCCTCTTCTGCTATAGAAGCTGAAGCGGTCCTTTCAGTGCACACTGGCGACGCCTCTGAAGTCCGAGCGAATGACCGTGGCATGAGGCAGCAACATGGCAGTTGCGAGAACTGCCAGATGTTCGCCAGCCAGGCAGGTTTGAGGTAACCTATCGTTTGTTCTGCCGTACAACAACCCAGCAAAAGCTTGGTCATCGCTGCCTCATTGATTTTGACCTCATCCTGCCCTGTGTTGCCTCCTGGGCCCGCTCTGAAAACAAGAGACGTCTGAATAGACGGCTCCCACGAAGGTCCCTGTCACGGGTAGCCCGCCTGCTGACCCAAACATGTACACCTCATATCCCCAGCCAGTTGAGGGGGTGAAATCCTGCTTGGGTCAACCTTGGAACCCACTGGGAAGGTACCGCTTCCTATCGGGATACAGAAGAGCAGCAATTGCTGACGCTGGTAACAGATCATTGCCGCGTTCCTCCTTTTTCCTTTTCCCCCCTCCTACTCGAACGATAGGTCTGTCCCCCTCCTACTGCCTTGCGTGTTTCTCACCCAGCCTGTCCGCTGCCTTTTGGGCCCTGGGGTGCGGAAGCCTGCAGTGCTCCCGTGCCCGCTTTACACGTTTCTTCTACCATCGGCTTTATACTTCGCGCTATTGTCAAGTACACCATCACCTCTACATCCTCATTTCTAGTTGGTAGCGGAGCAGGTCCGCCCCTGCTCACCGCGGTTGTCAAGTTTCGTTTTGCGTTGACCGCAATGGCTTCCGCCCTCCGCCGCGTTCGACTTCGTTCAACCGCCCGCAACATCTCCGCTTTCGTGCATTTCCCTCCCTTTGCTCTGGCAGGAGACGTTACCCTAGGGTTCGTCGGGGCTGTAACAGCCCATCCGCCAGGACCCGCGACCGGGAGCGTGCACAACCAGTGCTTCATCAAGGACACCACCACCACGATCTACAAGGACCGCTCTGCGACCCATCTTGGGCACATTCGGACTGTGTGCCGGCAGCCCGCGGACCCCAAACTGTCAGCGCCCCCGCCCGTGGGAGTAGCTTCAGATGTGTCAGACATTGGCTCGACACAACGTTCATTGTGTTTCGAAAGCCCTGGGAGGAGCAAGCTGAGAAGAGGCATCCGGCGATTGTGTTGTTGGTGCCGGGCGGGGATGCAGTGGGGAGTATGGGAAGTGTGTTCTCGCCCCCCGAGTGGAGGGCATGGCGACTGGGGCGCCATCGCTCCGAGGCACCGCACCTTGGGACCCGACCCTCCGCTTTACCTACTCAGACCCGCTAGCCGGGCAGGACGGGATCCCGACGCGCACTCCTTTAGACGATCGCGTATTCGGCGGTGTTCAGTACAGGGGCTACGCGACGTACGACAAACATTCCCGTGATTGTGTCGCGGGATGCCCCAGGTACCGTGGGCGCTACAGTGACACGGCAGAAGCAGGCTCCCAATGCGCTGACGAGGAACGCATTTGGGGCACGTATCCTCGGCGACTCATGCATCGCCGTTCGAGGGCCCCGGCCTCCAGCGGCCTCCAGCACCTTTGCGACATGTGGAGGGAGCAGCGCTCTGGATGGAAGGCCCTCGGAGTCGGCTTATGCGCCATCGCAAGCTGCATCGCCTGCGTGGACGCAGGCGGTGGCAGCGGCAACGTGCGCCACCTCCGCACCTGGGGGCCCGGGCGCCATGCTCACGTGCCTGTCCAGAAATGGGTGCGCGAGTTGATCTGGTCAGTGGCGAACTCAGGCACCAGCGAGTTTCGCTAGGCGGCCTGCGTCTCGTCGCGCTTTGCCAGCATGGCGCGCGAGTGCGTGCCCTCGGCGGGTCAACGTGTCACGCGATGACCTTTGGAGCGCCCTCGGGAACGTCGGGCGATCTCCTGGATTCCATCGGGGACCAGCAGAGGGACTTCTCGAGCCGAATTGACCAGGTAGCGGAGAAGCATGGAGGCCCGTGGCCTCGCTTCTGTGGCAGCCCGCCTGCCGGGTCGGGCTCGCTCCTTCAGGCGGGGCACGCCCTGGGGCCCGCCCTGGGCGTGCTGGCGCCTGCTCGCTGGCCCGCTGCTGGCTCCCTTTCCAGTGCTCGCCCGTTGCCCCGCCCGGAACGGCGGCGCGTCTGCTGGGGCCCCGGGCCAGGGCGGCAGAGGATGTCCAGGTGGCGGCTCGCGGGCTGCCCCAGCGGGCTGACGAACCTCCCCCGCGCGAGCAGGTCGCCCGTCGCGGCTCCAGAGAGGAAGGCCGACCTCGACCACGGGGCCCTCGCCGAGGCGGGCGGCCGCGGCGCGGACAAAGCCGCCCAGCTTCCAGTGCTGCAGGCGCTGGGAGAGGTTGGCGGTCCCCGGCGAAGGAGCACGAGCCCGCCCCGGGCGATCTCCCCCTCCGGGGCGCAGCCTCGAGCTCTGGGGGGGCGGGCCCCGTGGCCGGGGTCAATAATAGGGGGAAGGGCGCCGCGGGTCTCCTTATTGCGCTCGACAGGGCGCTCGAGCGGGAGCCGCAGAAGTGGCCCGCCTACGTCGACGCCGCAGCCTTTGCCCAGCTCGGCTGCGACGCCACCCGGATGCCGTGGAGCATGGCGCTCTATGGCAGGCAGATGACCAGATTTGGGCGCCTCGAGGAACGCGAGCGCTTCTGGGAGATGCTGGCGTCTCTGCGTGCTCTCCGCGGGCCCCAGCGGTTCGATCTCTTCGGCGCGCGGATCGGCCAGTTCATGGCGGCCACGCAGCAGTCGGTGAATTCGCATGGCTCCTGGAGGTTGGTTTGGTTGATCACGGGCTTCCCAGATCCACGGTCCAGATCGGGCCGGCCGCCAGGAGGCCCGGCGCGCGCCGCAGGGGTCGCTGCCTCGGTCGCCTACTTGCGCGAGACAGCTCTCGATGGCGCCCTCAGGAGAAGGGGCGGAGACGCCGCCAATGACCGCGGCAGCAAAGGCCGCGTCGGGGACGAGAAGTCCAAGAAGTGGACCAACATGTGGTCCCAGTGCGGCTGGATCGGCTCCTCCGGGATCTCGTCGGAGGGGAGAGCGATGCGCTCGGGGTGGAGGAGGTGCTCCCGGGCCTCCTCGTCGACGAGGCCCGCGGTGTCCTGCGGCGTGAGTTCGCCCCGCGTGACGGTGAGCTTCTCGCTGTCGTAGGGCGCGACGCTGAGCGAGGCGTCTGGGTCGTGCATGTCCTTCGTCTTGAGAATCTCCTTGCGCGCCCCGTCTGGGCACATATCATACTCGTTTGGCCTGGCCCCTGCGGCGGCTGCCGCGGCCCCCAGGCGCCGCCAGATGGCCTGCTGGCACAGTGGGAGCTGGCCTCCTGGCGGGTGGTGGTCAGGCCTCCGCGGCGGCGGAAGACCCTCGGCCCGGGCGCCGGCCAGAGCGTTGAGCGAGGCTGCAGCATCGATGGCCAGCTCGCGCCCATTCCAGTCCAGCGCGTCGAGCCCGTCAGCAACGGCGGCCGACCGTCGCCCCCAGGCGCCAGGCGGAAGCGCCAGGGGAAAAACGGCCCGAGGAGAGCGAGACGCCATCCCGCGCAGCGGCGAGCCCGGCAGGGGCCCGCGCGCGCAGGCGGCGCCAAGGCGGAGGCGAAGCGCTCGCCTCCTGTTACTTGCCTCCTCAGGGCTGGCTCCTCTTGCCGGTCTCCTCGGCGAAGAGCCTCTGCTGCTTCAGGGTGAACGCCTCTGTTTTTTGCTTCTCCGCGATGAACTTCGCGAACGCCCCTTTCGTGACTGGTGCGCCTGCGTCCAATCGGCTCGCCAGCATGACCTCCAACCCCCGAAAGTCGGGCGACTTGGGTTGCGGTGGGCGCCGCGCTCCAAGTACAGCGCGCGGCGGGCGAGGGCCTCGGTCCCAGCGAGCTGGTACGCGTCGATCTGGTCGAAGCACACCAGGTGATGCAGGATCGAGACCAGCGACGCATGTTGGTACGCCACCGCGCCCTCCCGCGCGATCCCGGACCCGTGGGCCCAGTGCTCGCGGTGCGCTGAGATGTCCTCTCCGCTGGCCCTGATGTTCGTCAGCAGCTCGACCGCCGCCGAAGGGCCGCGGAAAGGCCAGTCGTCGCCCGCGGCCGCGGCGCCCGCAGAGCCAGCGGCACCAGCGGCAGCAGGCCGGCGTTCCTTCAATTCGGCGAGGGCGTCGCGGAAAGGGGAAGAGCGGTGGCCGCGGGCGTTTCGTTCGATTGCCTGCGCTCTGGGGTCGCGCCCGGCCCCAGAGCGCTTCTCCTCCAGCCGCGCGCTCAGGTCCGCCATCTGGACACGCTCCACGGCGGTCCACTTGTCGTCGCCGATCAGCGCGAGCCCCGCCGACCCTCTCTGTACGAACCTCGCTGGGTTGAGAGTGATCGGCGCCGCCGCGGCCTCCCCGAACGAGTCCGAGCCCGGGTCCGCGACCGCCCACTGCGTCTGGTCCGCCCCTGGTGCAGGGGCCGCGCCGCCGAGGAGGCTCGCCAGCGCGTTGGCTTGGCGCTGGAGGTCTCCGAGCTCCTCCTCGGTCATCGGGTCGAAGAGGTGCACGTGGTTCCGAGCCCGGTCGGGCACCGGGCAGCCGCGGACGAACGGGGCGACCTGGTGCACCGCGAGGTCGATGACCTGGACGGCGTGCGTCGGAGTCGCCCCCGCCCACTTTGCGCCCTCCGTCAGCTTGGCCAGGAGGGCGCGGTGGTGCCGCCGGAAGTTGGGGTCGTCGTCGTAGTTGGCCGCCATTTGGGGCGGCTCGATGTCCAATGCGCGCTGGCGGGCAGCCATCAGGTCCTGCGGGCCCGCGGCCTTCGCGTCTCAATCTCCGTGGGCGTGGTCGACCCCGGCGGCGGAGGCGTCGGGCTCGCAGCAGGAAGAGCAAGAGGAGCACCCGGAGCAGGCCGAAGCAGACGGCCTGGATCAGGGGGCTCGTGAGCGGCGGGCGGCCCCCCCCCCCAAAGCTGGCGCCGCCCGCGGCTGCTCCGGCGACGCGGCCGTGACCCCGCAGCCGGCAGGCGCGGGCCCCGAGCAGGGCGACCGCGCCGAGCGAGAGGGCGGCGGCCGCCCACCCGGCCCCCGCCGAGCTGCTCCCGCAGCTGAGCGACGGGCAGGCCGGCACCGCAGGCGCCGGGCACGCCGGGGTGACCGGCGCGGGCCGGGCCGGGCACGCCGGCGGGAGGCGCGCCGGGCCGGAAGCGCACTCGGCCTCTTCCCACGTGCAGTCGGCGGCCGGCGGCGCCGGCGCGGGGGCGCCGGCCACGAGCCCGCCTCCGACGTCGCTGGCCGCCGGTGATTCGGTGATTCGGTGATCTGGGTTATGTTTGCATCTGACCGGCTGACTTCGTTCTGCGCCTTCCTCGAGGCAGGGGTCTCTAGACTCACCCCGGCGGGAAATCCGCCCCCGGGCCTTGTCCAGAGCTGCTCATGCCTTGCGGGCTTCCTCGCGATTGGCATGAGAGTGGGGCTGCGCCGCGGCCGCCGCCCAGACGTGCGCGGTGGCTTCGGGGGAGACGCTGGCGGCGCTCGGTTAACGTGTCCGTCGCCTGCTTTTCCTGGCTCTCGATCGGGCGCCCTGCGGGCGGGGCGACTTCATCCTGCCTTGCCGCGCCCTTGACCGAGAGGCAATTGCAATTGGTGCGCTGGCTTGACGATAAGTTTTCTGGTTGTTGCCGCGTCGAGGAGTCAATGCCACTCCTGACCGCGGCGGCGTCGCTGGCATCCACGGGGCCGTGACAGGTCTCAGGGGCGGTTCGTGTGTGGGGGGCGTCGCGCACTTTGTGAAACCTTGCGCCCTCGCCGCAGACAACCTCGGCATCCCGTCATGGGGGGCGGCGGTCATGCTCCAGGAGCTGGGCGCGCCGCCCGAGCTCGGCTTCATCTTCCGCGCGCCGCGCGCCTTCGACTTCCAGCCGAGCCGCCTTCCCAGCCAGCTGCCCCCGTGTGCGTGCGCGTGATCCACTGGGTCGCGGTGGCGGCGCTCCTGCGGCTCGCGCAACCAGGGGGCCTCCCATTGCGCGCGGGCCTCCCTGTCCGCGCTGGGCTCTTCTGCGTGGAGAAGAAGGGCGTCTGCGGACTGGGGGTGATCATCGACGGGTGGCGTCGCAACTCCCATGAGAAGTCCCCGAGAGAGGTCTTCCTCCAGTATGCGCTTGCCGCCGAGATCCCCGGCGGCCGACGCGCCTGCCTCGAGCGCCTCGCCACCGCCCTCTACGCTTCGCAGTTCGCGGAGCTGTTCCTCCAGAGGGGCGGGTGTTTCTCAATCTCCGCGGGCGATGCCGAGGATTTCTTCTACCTCCTGCAGCGGCCGGGCGCCCGGGTCCAGGATGCCGCTCTTGGCTTTGACCCCGGGTCCAGCGAGCTGCTGGAACGCAGGGTCTTCTACGGGGTGGGCCGGAGGCAGCCGCGTCGTGCATCGGCGTTGCCTGGGCTCCGCAGGATGTCTCAGCGGCGGGGGGGGCTCGCTCGTGGCCTGGCCCCTCCCTCGGATGGAGTCGTGGGAGGTGTCTACCCCGGCGACCGCGCGGTCATCGGGCTCGGCGATGGCCTCGCCTCCGGCCCGATCAGGGCGTGCGTCGAGAGCGCCGGGCATGCGATCGGGTGGGCGTCGAGAGGAAGGGGGAGATGGCGACCCCGGGTCAGCAGCGCGCAGTCGTCAGGGGGGGCGAGATATCCTCGGAACGTCTCGGCGTGGGCGGAGAGGTCGTGCAAGTCATGCAGCTCTGCGTAGTGACCGCGTGAACCGTTCTCGTCGGTGCCGCGCCGGTCGCTCTCATCAGGGTGCTGATCTGGTGCTGGGTTCGCCGCCTGATGTTCTGCCGGGCCGCCGCGCGCGTCGTGGGCGAGGTCTACGCGTGGATTCGCGTGCCCGGGGTGGGCTCTACAGCGTGGCGGCGGTTGCCGAACGCGGTGCTTGACGAGCTGGTTGCGTTGGTCCTCCTGTTTTCGCTGTTCAAAAGCTCGCTCGACTCGACGGTGGTCGAGCAGGTCATCGCGTCGGGCGCCGCCCGCCTCGCTGGCAGAGTCACTGCGGCGCCTCTCGACGTGGAGAAGGCGGGCTGGCTTTGGGCCCGAGCTCCTCGGCGGACAGGCGCGGTGAGACTCAAACCGTTTGGGCCCCCAGACCCCGACAATCCATTGGAAGGTCCCGGGTGGCGGGGTGCGCGGCGATTCCTCCTGCGTCTTGGGTCGGGCCCCAACAGTTTGAAACCTTGCTCAGCTATCGGTTCTCGGGGCGACGCCGCGTGAAAGACCGGGGGGCCGCTGCCTTCCGATCGCTGGTTGAGTGGGCGGTGAAGGACCCATGCTTACATGGTAAGCGCATTCCGCGCTGCTGTCCGAGGTCCAGCGGGATCCATGGCGGGATCTCTGCCATGACTCTTCCCGTTCTTGCCGCTCGCATCTCGCAGGGTGATCCTTTCCTTTTGGGCGCGAAGTGCCCGCGATCGCGCGGATGGCCCGGCGAGAGCTGCTGAGGGGACTGGGGCCGGGCCGCGTCCTCCCGGGGTCGCGGAGCCCATCGCCGTCGCCGAGGAGCTACGGGGCGGGGCTGCGTGCGCGCGCTGCCCAGTTTTTGGGCGCCGACCGCTTGTCGTCTACGACGCCTCCTGCGGGCCGAAGGCCCCCCTGAGTGCGGCCGTGGAGCGCCGGGGGCGGATCGTCGTCAGCCGCGGCGCGCAGCGCGGGCTGCTCGAGGACCTTGCCGGCCCCGACGTGCTCGCCCAGGAGATCGAGCTCATCGCGACGGCCAAGCCGCTGGCGGCCGCTCTTGGGCCGCCCTGCGGGACCTTCTCGCGATTTATCAACTTGTGCTCGTGGTCCTTCCAGACGTGCTGGCGGCCGCGGGGGCAGCGGCAACTCCCCGATGGGATTCTTGGCAGCGGGTTTCTTTGGGGCAGGGCTAGATCTCGCAGAGGCCCTCGACCGCGTGGGCGCCTTGTGGGCGCGGGGCCAGCCTCGGTGATCTCTTCGGCGGGCGCTCCCAGAGCCTCGAGAGGCCCTCAGCGAGGGCCTGCTCTACGAGCGCGTCATGGACTGGTGTGCGCGGGGCAGGCGCTGGCGGAAGACCGCCACCTGGAATGGGCGGGGGGATTTCCTGCCCCTGCTGGCGAGGCGGTGCGACCGCAGCCGCCGGCGCCTCGTCCTGGGGGGCTGCGCGCAGGGCGACGGTGGCGTCTGGCGGCTCCAGGCAGAGGTGGCAGCAGTGTGCTCCAGCGGGTGGTGCGAGGCGGTGGCTGAGCACCTCGACATCTGCTGCCGCTCGCCGCGCTGCTGACCTGCGGGTCTTCCGCAGCTGGCTGGGCCTTCCAGGGGGGGCCCGCCCGCGCGCCAGGGCGCGGTCTCGCGAGGGGCACCCTCGCGGGCTGGGCGGGACCTCCCTGGGTAATTGTCAAGTCGTTTATTGCCCGTCTGTGCGTCATCGTGCTCGACCAGTGGAGCATTTGGTTCGAAAGTCGAGACCTACCCCGTCCTGGCGACGCCGCGCGTGCCATCGAGCTGCTTGCTCAATGCCTCCGTCGTTGCCTACGTTCAGTATCTCTTCGTTACGAAGGCGTCATATGCTTGGGGACCCCAGGCCCTTGTTGGCGTCCAGTTTCTCTTGCAACAGGCCCGCGGGCAATTGCGCCCGGCTTGGGCCGTGGCGATTCGCTGTCGCACCGTCGAGGCCTGTCGCAGTACGCGCGCCCATGACTGTCGAAGTGCTCACGGCCCTAGCCGTGGGTGCCCGGGCGCAGGGATGGGACAGGCAGCGCGTGGCCGCTTTTCGCCTCCCACTCGCTGTGGCGGCCCAGCGAGGTCGAAAAGGCCCTCGGGCAGCATCTCGTCTTGTTTGGGGACCTGGGAGGCGATGTCAACACAGGCTTGCTCGTTCTGCTCTCTGCTAAAACATCAGGCCGAGGGCCAGCGTTTCAGAGCGTCCTGGTCGACGACCTTGCGCTGCTGAACTTGCTAAGGCGCGTCTCTGGCTTCCTCTCCCCGATGCCAGCGTTGCGCCCTGGGCGAATGCGTGTCGTCGGCATCAGCGACTCGCCGTGCGCCCTTGGGTCGCCGCAGGTTGCGGGGCCATCCATCGCTCCCGCTCGTTTCAAAACCTGGGGCTGCTGCAATGCCGTGGACTCTGGGAGAATGCAAAGTCAATGCGTTGCTATCTCCAGGTGTGCGCGGGCGCCATGTCCTTCGCCCGTATGCCATCTGACAGACGACAACGTAGCCAGCAGCTTGCTCAACTCGCTCCAGATGTACGGGGTGGTGGGTGACTTTGTCACCGGCCGGCCTGGGGGGCAATGCGCGTATCAACGCGTGTCAATGACGGTAAGTGTGGAACAGGTTGCGAGCTTTCTGTCTTTTGGGCTTTGTGAGGCCGCGCGGCAGAGACACGACGCTGCGCCCCGGCGCCTCTGGCCGCCCTTTGGCCAGCGTTTCCTCGAACACTTCACGCATGAGGTGTTTTGTAAAACGAGCGTCTGAGATCAGGTGAGCGCAGTGGTTATGATAATAGAGGAGGTGATCTGCAACTTTCTCGTCCTCCCCCCCCGCCCTTGCGAACAGCTTTTGAACAGGTTTCGAGCTCTTTGTTTTTGGGGCTCTGTGTGGCCGCGCGGCAGAGACGCCGCTGCGCCCCGACTCCCTAGACCGCCCTTTGGCCTGCATTTATTTGCAAAATTTGCACATTGGCTGCTTTGGGAAACGAGCGTTGGAGATGATGCTGGTGATAGTGGTCATGATCGTGTTGGTGTTGATGGCGATTACCAGGATGACGGTGCGATGGTGATAGCGGTGATGATGAGGATGGTGATGATGCTGCTGGGGATGATGATGATGATGATGATGATGATGATGATGATGATGATGATGGTGGTGGTGGTGGTGGTGGTGGTGGTGGTGGTTTTTGAGCATGATAACGATCAGGAGGAAGAGGATCAGGAGGAAAAAGGGGAGGATATGGGGAGGAGAAAGGGGGGGCGATGTGGAGGAGCCGAGCCGGCGGAGAAGGGGTGCGGAGAACGATGACGCGGGGGCGGACGAGAACAAGGAATATTAGCAGGAGAGGGATAGGATGAGGATGATGATGCTGATGATGGTTATGATGATGGTGGTGATGATGGTGATCTGATGATGATGATGATCATGATGATGATGACGATGATGATGATGATGATGATGATGATGATGATGATGATGATGATGATGATGATGATGATGATGATTCGGAGGAGGAGGAAGAGGAGGCGGACAATGAGGAGGAGGAGGAAGAGGAGGTGGAGGAGGGCAGGAGGAGGAGGAGGACGAGGAGGAAAAGGAGGAGGAGCAGGAGGCGGGGGAGGAGGAGGAGGAAGAGGAGGAGGAAGAGGGGGAGGAGTAGGAGGAGAAGGAAAAAGAAGAAAATCAATAAGAACAATAATAATAATAGTAAGTCTAATAACACTAAGAAAAATATTAACAATGATCATAAGCATGGTTAAACATATTAATGATAATAATAGTAATCACAAGAATATTAATAAGAATACTAATCACAATATTAATAATGTTAATACTAATAATAATACTCACCGGAATAATAATACTATAAATAAGAAGAGTAATAATAGTAATGATATAATACTTGGCATAAGAAGACTATGAAGAATAAAAGTACTAATAATAAACATACTAAGACTACGGATAATATCAATATTACCAATATTAGCAGTAACAGTAATATTAATACTACCAATAATAATACTATTAAGAGTACTGATAGTACTAATACTAATAGTACTACTATTATTATTATTATTACTACTACTACCTATTAGTATTATTACTAATATTATTATATTCGTACTAGTAATAATACTACTAGTAATATTACCATTACTAATACTGATAGTAATACTATCAATAAGCAATAATAATGCTAATCGTAACCATATTAATAATAAAACTATTTTTCATACTACTACTAATGCTACTAATACTAATACTGGTAATACTATAATATTAATGATATTATTAATGCTACTAATAATACTACTACTAATACTACCACAAGTAATACTAATGATGCTAATAATAATAATATTAACCGTCATCCTAATACTAATACTATCATTTGTAATAATACTAATAACAATTTTGAAACAACACTAATACCAATAACACTAATAATAACACTAATACCAATAATAATACTACTAATGATAATACTAATATGATCAATAACGATACTAAGAATAATATCAACAATATTATCAATAATAATAATAACAAGAAGACTACTACTAATACTATTAATAGTAGGAGCAATAACAACACTAATATTAATAATACTGATAATACGCATAGTACTAATACTAATGCGATTGACAATTTTCTAGTAATACTAGTATCAATAAATAGCTAATAATAATATTATTAATATTATTAATGCTAGTACTACTAATACTAGTATTACGAATAATACCAATCATATTAGTATTAATAATACTAATAGTAATAACATTAATACTAATATATAAGATAATAATAATTATAATACTAGTCGTAACAATGATACTACTAATACTAATACTAATACTAATACTAACTAATATTAATACTAATACTAATACTAATACTAATACTAATACTCATATCATCAATAATACTACTACTAATACTAATGATAATAATACTAGTCATCATAATGAAGATACTATCAATAATAATAATAATGGTAGTAATATTAATAACAATAATAGTATTCATAATAATAGTACTCATAATAATAATACTACTATTAATAATAATAAGACTAATATTAATACATGTATTAATAATAATAATAATATTTATGATAATAATATTAATACTAATACTACTACTACTACTACTAATAATAATACTAATAATAATAATGATAATGGTAATAATGATAATAGCAAAAAGAGGAGGGTGATGAGGGAAAGGAGGAGGAGGAGGAGGAGGTGGAGGAGGGGAGAAGGAAATTAGGTGGATGAGGAGGAGGAGGAGGAGGGAGGAGGAGGAAGGTGGGGAGGAGGAGGAGGAAGAGGAGGAGGAGGAGGAGGAGGAGGATAAAGAGGAGGAGGAGGAGGAGGAGGAAGAAAAGGAGGAGGAGGAGGAGGAAGAGGAGTAGGAGTAGGAGTCGGAGTAGGAGTAGGAGTCAAGCTAGCCAGCTCGAGCGAATCAAGCATGGCATGCCCAGTCCCACCCGCCCTCCCACAACATAAGAAGCAAAGCTGGCACAACTGGGGGCCGAAGTCACACCGGCCAGCCGGTTTGGTACAGCTGATGCGGCCGCGATGGCGGTTGCCGACGGGAACTGGCGAGCGCGCGTTGAATGCCGCGCACGCATTGCCAGACGAGTCGAGAATGGCCCGGCACACCGCAGGAAGCCAGAGGTGGCCGGAGGAAGCCCGACGGTCTGACAGGACACCCCAAAGAATTTTTGTGAAAAAGCATTGGGTTTTTGATGTTTTTATGTTGAAATGCTTGCAAACACACGGTGTTCGGTAGGATTCTGACATGAACGCGCGAGTGTGCTCTTTGTGGTATTTTTTGCACCGGATTCGCGGCCTGGGTGCATGACAGAGCATCGCGAGTGCACCGCGCGATGACGTGAAATCGCTGGATTCGACCGAATGCGCAAGATTCCTAGGGTTTTCGTATGATTTCAGCAAGAGAGCCCGGGCGGGAAATTTGCATAATTTTTGAAAAAAAAATGGGGTTTTTGATGTTTTTATGTTGAAATGCTTGCAAACACACGGTGTTCGGTAGGATTCTGACATGAACGCGCGCGTGTGTTCTTTGTGGTATTTTTTGCAATGGATTATCGCCGTGGACGACAGGACGTCCATGTCGAGAGGAAAAAATAAGAAACATGTTGATTTTGTATTGTTTTTTACAGGTTAATATGGGACCACCCGGATGCGGCCCCTATCGGCCGGCCTGAGGGGGGAGTAGGAGTATATTCTAATAAGGAATAAGGATAGGAGTAGGAGTAGGAGTAGGAATCAAGCTTATCGACGAGGCTGCCGCCAACATGTACTTGAATAGATTCTGCCCCAAGATCGATTTCGCTAACATCGCCCCGCCCACGAAACCCCAGATGGAGTCTTACATTCAGAAGCTGTCCCACTCAGCCCCTGGCCCCGACGGTCTCCCATATGCCGCGTACCAGCGTTCCTCTTTCTCATCATCAGTCCTACTGTCAGTCATGTGGTGGATTCTGGGTGGAAATGCTATGATGGTAGGTTTCAACGACATGATAGGCGTCTTCATCCCCAAAGGCTCCGAGACCGAGGACACCCTCAGAGGCTGCGTGCGGGCCCCCAGCAACTTGCGCCCCCTTGGCCTCAAAAACACGGACGTCAAAATCATCACAGGGACGATCGTACGTCGGCTATCGCGTGCTCTCCCAGAGGTGGTGTGCAAAATTCAAAGGGGGTTCGTGCCGTCCAGGAACTTCGGGAACAACATAGTGGAGCTCGATGGGGCCTCGAGGGAGTACTCCCAGCAGGACAACGTCTCCGTAGCCATGCCTTTGCTCGTCAGTTTCGATTTTCAGCAGGCCTTCCCAAGTGTGGCCCATCAATGGCTCTTCTTGGTTCTCCGTCGCGCAGGATTGCCCGAGGCGCTATGTTGGTTCTTCGCCGAACTGTACCGCTGCGTCCAGTGCTGGTCGGCTAATGCGTGTTCGTCGTCCATCAACAACTCCGTCTATGGGAACGCTGCGCTGCTCTACTACATCCAGAGCGGCATAGTACAAGGCTGCCCTGGCTCGGGCTTCTTGTTCGCAGTGGCCGCGGACCCGTTCATGCTCGACTTCGACTGGAGTATCAACCGTCGTGCTCTCGGATTGGTTCGTGCTTGCGCCGACGACGTCGGTGCCGCCATCAGGACCATCAGGGCGCTCAAGATCTTCTTCCGCATCTTTCGGGCTGCCGCTCGTGTTGCTGCCCTGGTGCTCAAGCCGTCGAAGTGCAAGATTGTGCCATTATGCGGCCCGTTCTCGGAGGAGACTCATGACCAATACGCTCAATGGATCGCCGACCACCTCCCGACATGGTCCTCGTTCAAGATCGTTCCAGAGCTTCTACACCTCGGACTTTATCTCGGACCCGCTGTGCATCTTCAGAGCTGGCACGCACCAATCCAGAAATGGAGAGAACGTGGCCTGATCCTCGCTCAGCAGCAGGGGCCACACCGTGTGACGGCTCAGCTCTACTCGTCAAGGGTCACCAGTGTCCTGACATACGTCGCCCAGTTCATGCCGCTCCCAGCTGAGATCCTCTCAAGTGAGGCAGCGCTCCTTGCCCGCCTGTGGCGTTCGCCGCACTGTGTAATCTCTCGCGCAGGCTTTTTCAACCTCTGGAGGTGGGGAGGGCCGAAGTTCCCGAGCGCTCTCATTCTGTCGTCGGCCACTCTCCTTAGATCCAGTGCCACCACCCTCCAGAGCTGGCCATCCGTCCTTGCCTCTCTCCGTGAAACCGCGGACCGATGCCTGCCCCTCCCCATCCGTGCTGCTGGATCTCTGTCTCCCTCATTCTGGCGCCAGCCATCGTTCGCGGAATTCCTGTCCTCCGCCGCAGCTTGCTATCCTGCCAACATCGGGCAAGATCTGGTCACCTCCTCCTCCCCCGCTCGCGAGCTCCTCGCTGCTGCTGCCACCTCTGCTGTTACCTCACTCCCTCCTCCTCCCCCGAATCGCCGTGCAAAGATCCAGGGAAAGCTCGCCCTGACGCTTCTAGAAGTTCGATTTCCCGACCCATTGGTCGGTATTTTCTGCAAGCGATTAAACGCCTGGCCCCCGGTTTCCCTGGAGACCCTCGCCGAGTGGCCCTGGTCCGAAACCCAGCACTGTCTCTTGAAGCTTCCTCCGGTCCAGTCGAATGCGATTTTGAAACTCCTCGTCAACGGATGGACGACGGAGGCCCGCTTTCAGAAGCCTGCCCTATGTGTGCTAGGCTGCGTGCCGTGCGGAATTTCATCCAGCGCTGACAGCTTGCCACACTATTGGTCGTGCCCTCGATTCCTGGCCATTTTAGCGATGGTCCTCCAGAAGAGAGTGCTCCCAGGATGCCCCATCGAGCGACTTGGTCTCTCCTCCCCCTCGGCCGAGAGCCTCCTGCTGCCTGCCGCTGCCACCCTCCTCTTCAACACCATCAACGCTCACAGGGCCGAGCTCGACCATCTTCCTGAATCCCGCGCCCGCGCTCTGGCCTCCTCTGTGAGGTACCAGCTGTGGCGGTAGGCGCCCCGCAGGTGTGATGGAGCAGACCCATTCATCCCCCAGGTACGTCCGAGGAGTAGGAGTCAAGCTAGCCAGCTCGAGCGAGTCAAGCATGGCATGCCCAGTCCCACCCGCCCTCCCACAACATAACAAGCAAAGCTGGCACAACTGGGGGCCGAAGTCACACCGGCCAGCCGGTTTGGTACAGCTGATGCGGCCGCGATGGCGGTTGCCGACGGGAACTGGCGAGCGCGTGTTGAATGCCGCGCACGCATTGCCAGACGAGTCGAGAATGGCCCGGTACACCGCAGGAAGCTAGAGGTGGCCGTGTCGAGAACGGCCCGGTAAGCCGGGTCCCATTCCTGCCATGCATTTTGCGACGTGGACGACAGGACGTCCATGCGACGGTGCCAATGACGGCGACGACTCTAGAAGGATTTGAGCATGCGCTCGCGGCGACGTGCGCGCATGTCGCCCGCGTGGTATTTTTTGCACAGGATTCGCGGCCTGGGTGCATGACAGAGCATCGCGAGTGCACCGCGCGATGACGTGAAATCGCTGGATTTGACCGAATTCTTAAGATTCCTATGGTTTTCCTATGATTTCAGCAAGAGAGCCCGGGCGGGAAATGTGTGTTTGTGAAAAAGCATTGGGTTTTTGATGTTTTTATGTTGAAATGCTTGCAAACACACGGTGTTCGGTAGGATTCTGACATGAACGCGCGCGTGTGCTCTTTGTGGTATTTTTTGCAATGGATTATCGCCGTGGACGACAGGACGTCCATGTCGAGAGGAAAAAATAAGAAAAATGTTGATTTTGTATTGTTTTTTACAGGTTAGGATGGGACCACCCGGATGGGGCCCCTATCTGCCGGCCTGAGGGGGGAGTAGGAGTATATTCTAATAAGGAATAAGGATAGGAGTAGGAGTAGGTAGTGGTAGTAGTAGTAGTAGTAGTAGGAGGAGAGGGGAGGAGGAGGAGGAGGAGGAGGAGGAGGAGGAAGGAGGAGGAGGAGGAGGAGGAAGGAGGAGGAGGAGGAGGAGGGGAGGATGAGCAGGACAGACGTAACAATCTCCGATCTTCATGTCCGATCGAAATCAAAAACAAGACGGGTAGGAAGGAGGAGGAGGACGAGGAGGAGGAGGTGGTGGAGGACGACGAGGAGGAGGAAGAGAAGGAGGAGGAAGAGGAGGATGAGGAGGAGGAGGAGTTGGAGTAGGAGGAGGAGGGGGAGGAGGAAGAGGAAAAACAAGAGAAGGGAACTTGGTAGGCAAGCGGGAAGGGGACGGTCGAGGAGGTGGGGAGAGGGGGGAAAGAAGGGGAATGAGGAGTGCTGGGGGGTCCAAGGGTCCCCAGACCATCTGGTGACAGATGGTCCAGAGATGTCACCACACACTCCGTCACTGGACGGTTTTAGGGTTCTGGGTGCCTCAGGTGCTCGAGACATGCCCGGAGAACAACTTGGACTCAGACGGTGGTGTGGCCAACGGACTGCTTGGGGACCCCCGAAGATCGGGCCGGACGACAGGGAAGGATAGGGAAAGGGGGGGCGTTACGAAATCTGCTGCGTGCAGCTGGTTTCGGCCCAGCTGGGCCCATTTTTCGATACATGGGCGCCTCCTGGCGCCAGGAGGCGCCAGGAAAACCAGCTACGCGAGCGGATTATCTCCTTGCCCTTTGCTATCCTGCCCTTTCGCCTCTTCCCCCCCTGACGTGAGCCCTGAGAATATCCAAGGCTTCGCACGCCCGGCCAAGCAGGGGCATCGACCGGCGTGGCACTGGTGCGACCTTCGAGGGCTTTTCAGGCGCGCGCGCGCGTGGAAGGACCTGCGCGTGGAGGGAGGGAGGAGGGGGGAGCAAATGATGAGGTAAGTCGGCCACGCGCAGAGAGGGGGGAAGGCTTCTCAGAAGGATGCTGCTTCTTAGAAGGCGCGGCCCTTCTCTATAGGCCGGCGCCTTCCCAGGAACGGCCTCTTTCTAAGACGCCTCCTTCCTTCCCCTACCACCTTGTGGTGCGCGCCGCCGAGTACGGAGGGGGGGAAAGGAGGGATGGAGGAAGGGGAGGATGCGGTAGTGAGCAGGGGAGGGAAGGGAGGATGGACAAAAGGGTATCAGCACGGCTTCTCTGTGCCTGGGGCCTACGACGCGGGCCCTCGCTCCACGGCCAGATTCTCGCTCCGCAATCCTGGTCAGAACGCGCTCCGGCAGGTCTCGGCGGATTGGAGGATGGGAGGAATGCCACGACGAGGAGGGTGAGGCCCGCGGATCGAGCTCGTGTTTACCTCTTTGACTCCTAGTTGGGCTTCCAGAGACATCCCAGGAGAGCAGGAGGATGCGAGGGCGGTGCATCGCTTGTCCATTGCATGTCGTGCCCTGCCCTGATCCCGCTCAGCGCTGGGACCATCGTCCTGGCAGCGCACGCGTGCGTTTTTCTCTTGGACGCGTTCAATCAGTGGACGTCTCGAGGTTGCACGCCCGTGGTGCACCGTCCGTTCACCGCTTGCATGATTCGGCCGCATGCTTTCGCATGAACCAGCACCGTTAAGGCAGTGTGCGCATCTTCGTGGTAACTATAGAATGTGCGCAAAGGCAAATGCGCCAGAGGGGGAGCAGCCAGCGGGGTGGCCGAAGCCTTCGTGGCCTGTCCTCCACAGTCGATGATGCTGCTGTTCACCTTCATGGGCATCTTCGCTGGCTACACGCAGGCCAGGCTTTACAAGGCCATCCCGTCTGCCTTTTCCGCTCCCGGCTCCTGTGTCTTATCTCACCGAACAGCCCTGACCACACACTCACATTGGTTCAGTTTCGGAGGCGGTGGGGGACGGAGGAGCGCGAGCACAGAGATGATGAAGGGGACGGCGGGGCCGTGCGTATCCGAACGAGATTGCAAAAGGTATGGGCGCATTCCAACCAGGCTTACAACATGTCGGCGCCGGGCGGCAGTTCCAGAACCCTGATGCCACATGAGGGACGGAACCGGAAAGTGGGAGAGGAGGGGGCCAGAGATCAAAGCAAGCCGAAAACGACAGAGGACCACGGTCTGCAATCAGGGAGCAAGCGTGCCCCAGCTGACTACGTTTACTTGCGCTCGGGACGTGTAGTACGAATATAAAGTTGTGTTTGTTTTTCTTGCGTTGCATTGATTTCGTTGTGGAGTCCTCCTCCTTCTCCTTCTCCTCCTCCTCCTCGTCTCCCCGTGTTCGCTGTTTATCTTCTCTCCCGCAACGAATACAAATGGTTGACCTCAACAATGATTAGGGATCATCGGGGGTTGTTTTGCCGACAACCGACCGCCTGCTCGTTGTTTGCATATAGATGTACGCCCTCCATCGGAATCCCAACATCGAGCACACAGGGGTGGCGCAGGCAGGAGGAGGAGGAGGAGGGGGAGGAGGAGGAGGAGGTGGAGGAGCAGGAGGAGGAGGAGGAGGAGGAGGAGGAGGAGGAGAAGGAGGAGGAGAAAGAAAAGGAGGAGCAGGAGAGGAGGAGGAGGAGGAGGAGGAGGAGGAGAAGGAGGAGAAGCAGGAGCAGGAGGAGGAGGAGTAGGAGGAGGAGGAGGAGGAGGAGGAGGAGGAGGAGGAGGAGGAGCAGGAGCAGGAGGAGGAGGAGGAGGAGGAGGAGGAGGAGGAGAAGGAGGAGAAGCAGGAGCAGGAGGAGGAGGAGGATGAGCAGGAGCAGGAGGAGGAGGATCAGGAGGAGGAGGAGGAGAAGGAGGAGAAGCAGGAGCAGGAGGAGGAGGAGGTGGAGGAGGAGTAGGAGGAGGAGGAGGAGGAGGAGGAGGAGGAGGCCGATGACGAAGTGGAGGAGGGGAGGCGGGGAGGCCACGCCGGTGCCTCCCGTGCCTCCCGCCCTGGCGGGCGCGCCCGCCCCACGTTCGTCCGCGAGGCAACGCTCTTGGATTGAGCTTCCAGCGGATGACGCTTGCCTCGTAACGCTGGAAGCGAAGAGTGCAGCGGACGCGGGCCCGCACGCTCGCGAGGCTCCACGGGATGAGACGCCAGTGGAAGGTGAGTGCAAGCTGCCCGACTAGCACAGGTATCGCCATAAATGGCAGTTCTTCTGCCCCCCCCCCTTCCTCCCTCCCCTCCCTCCTCCTCTGTCTTTCCTGGTGCCGTTCAGCTGGCCTGAGGTTTCCGCAGTTTGTTCACGACAGGGTGGTCGGAACAAATGGGGCGTCACCTTTCGTGGACGCGGGGTTGACGTGTTGGGCGCAGCGGGCGCCGCGAGCGTGTTGCATGGTCGGTAGTGCGAGTTCTCGCGAGCTGCATGGTCAATGCGCATTGCCGTTCGCAAGCCTCATGCCCTCGCGGATTCCAACATGCTGGTGGCCAGCTGCTCTTACATATCTGTTGGCCACGCGCTATTTCATTGACGTTGAGACGCCGTTGTCATGGTGTGTGCGTACGGTGCGCGATCCTGTGCAACTTAAGATTGCTTTATTCCCGCGAGGAGCATCATCGCCAGGATTTGTTTTGACCACGCATTGGCACATGGGATCTGTCAGACAATTCCATTTCTCGGCCGCGCAGCACAACTTGAAGTGCCGAGGGCACGCGCGCCCCTCCTGATTGAAAATCGTATTAGTCTAGTGTGATGGCGTCGCCATTGCGCGAATGGCCAGCGGCGCCAAAAGTCCGCGTTGTTTGTTGGACACGCGCGGGATAGTACACAGGCTTCGCTTCTGGGTAGTGCTTGCGCTATGAGGGATGCGAAGGCACTTTTCGAGGGACCGTTTCGATTTCATGAAAAAAAACAGTCGGACCGAGATGTAAGATCAAGGTCGATTCGGGGAAGGTGCCCTCATGCTCTTCGTGCTTGTTGGGTGTTCTTGTGCATGCTGGGATACCCTTGGATGTTCTGTGTGTTTTGGCCGGCGGAGCGTCTTACGGGAACCTTAGAATATCTGCAGACATCTTACAAGGCAGCACAAGGTAACCTCACCGGACAACGCTTGGCACTGGGTCTGTTTAGATGTACAGGTCCGGGGGGCGGTGGACAAGGCATTTCTACACCTTTCGGAGGGGATTGTACACATCGCTCGGGCTGCTCGTATACATGTCAGCATGTGTACATTCATTGTCTTACTCCACAGATGTGTCTGCATGCGATGGCGCATATATATATATATGTATAGAGATATATGTACATATTTACTGACATATAGGCGTTGAACGCCAGTATGCACGTGTGTAAACTGTGTTGGTGAGTGTCGGTTCGAGGAGGGGGGGTACGATGACTCATCTTCTGACGTTTAGGCGTTTTTTTGTTGCTTGCTGTCACCCGCCCCTTTGCCCCCTTCCCCTCGCCTTCGGTCCGTGGCCTGGCTGTCGTAGATGCTTCATCCTTAATCCCCAGCATCTCCGGAGCCCTCCAGTCGCTTCGTACCTTCATCACTGACACGGCCAGCTCACACACTGCTTCCCCGCCCAGGATTTCCGCTTATGCACTCGGGCGCCGCAGTCGTTCCCCTGCTGCCTGCTCCTGGGCCATTCCAGGTCGTGTCGTACTTCCGCCGCCAGTCGCCCTCCTGCGCCCTTTCCTCGTCCCCCCCGATGCTCGCTTCTTCTCCCTCGGTGTTTTTTACATGGTTTGTTTTGTCACTTGTGGCAGTGTGCCTTCCTCAATCGGGTGTGGAAGGGTATCGGGAGGAAGTCGCATGCAGCGGTCGAGGAATACTGGATGTCTGGCATCTGTTACGGTGTCCCCCGCTGCCCTCCAGCACCGCTCAATTGTGAGTCCTTGCGGACCTGCAGCGTCTTCCCCGAATTCCTTCCTTCCAATATCAGCCGTGCTCTCCGACGTGTCTCATGCCGAGCGCCCAGCCTGCCTTCGCATACTCGTGCCCCGACTTGCTCCAAGACGTCCAGACCGAGACGGATCGGTACAAGCTCGATATTTGTTCGCAACCCGCTGGGCTCCGAGGCGATTTGGATTAGCGTCGCGCCGAGGGAGGAACTGACAGGGGGCAGGCCTTCTTATAAGGCGGCGGGGCTTCTCATAATCTTATGGATAACGACCAATGGAGAGGAATCATGTTGCCAAATACTTTCCAGCTGTGTAAACAATGTGTAAACCTGCATCAAGCATGTTCAAAGCATGTTTTCAAACTATTTTCAGATTGTCATATATATTTTGGTCACAATGATAATGAAACCACTTCGATGTTAGGGTGTCCATCGTCATGGCATTCACAATCGTACTCCCTCCGCCTGAGAAGCCCCCCTGTGGCTGCGGAGAAGGCGTGGCAAGCTCTTCAGGAGGCCAGAGGCCTCCTGGGCCTTTTGAGGAGGCCCGCCCCCCCGGCCTTCCACGGACCCAGACCCCCCCGCGTCATGTTTTTCCCAGCCATCCTGTGGTGTCGGGTCCTCGTTCAGAGGAGACAGCGCCCCGCGTCCCTCTCCCGTCCTCTCCTCCTTCCTCCCCCTCCTCCCTCCTTCTCCCTCCTGCTATCATCATCGTCATCACCATCGTCATCATCAACATCGCAGCCGTCATAACCATCATCGTCATCATCCTCGCCATCGTCATCATCATCACAATCACCATCATCGCCATCACCATCATCACCATCATCACCATCAGCACCATCATCATCATCATCATCATCATCATCATCATCATCATCATCATCAGCATCATCATCATCATCATCATCAGCATCGTCATCATCATCATCATCATCATCATCATCATCATCATCATCATCAGCTTCGGCGTGCCGCTCGCACGTTTCGTGGCTCCATAGGGAGCTCCAGCTAAGGCCCCAGTGGCACTGTCCGCATGTGGGCGTCACCCCCATTTCGACTCGCCCCTCACACGTTTCGTGGCTCCACAGGGAGCTCCAGCTAGGGCCCCAGTGGCACCGTCCGCATGTGGGCTTCAGCCTGCTGTGGGCACACCCCACACACGTTTCGTGGCCCCATCGGGAGCTCCAGCTTGGGCCTCGGTGACTGCGTCCGCATGTGGGCGTCACCCCTGTTTCGGCACACCCCTTACGCGTTTTGTGGTCCCATAGGGAGCTCTACCCAATGCCCCAGAGGCACCGTGCGCATGCGGGCGTCACGTCCAGTTTCGGCACACCCCTCACATGTCTCGTGGCTCCATAGGGAGCTCCAGCTAAGGCCCCAGTGGCACCGTTCGCATGTGGGCGTCGTTTCCGTTTCGGCACAGACCCCACACGTTTCGTGGCCTTATAGGGAACTCCAGCTGATGCCCAAGTGGCACCGTCCGCATGTGGGCGTCACATCCTTTTCGGCACACCCCTCACACGGTGGCCCCATAGGGAGCTCCAGCAAAGGCTCCAATGGCACCCTCCGCATGTGGGCGTCACCTCCGTTTCGGCACACACCTCACAGGTTAGGTGCCCCCCGTGGGAAATCCCACCCAAGGCCGCAGTGCCACCGCCCGCATGCGTCCGCCACACATTTCGGCACACCCCTCACACGTTTCCGCACCACCCATTTAGCCTACCCCTCACGCGTTTCATGGCCCCGCAGGGAGCTCCACCGAAGGCCCACATGCCAGCGCTCGCGTGCGCCCACCGCGTTGGGACACCTCTCGCACGTTTCGTGGCCCCAGAGGGAGCCCCACGGAAGGCCCGAATGCCAGCGCTCGCGTGCGCCCACCGCGTTTGGACACCCCTCGCACGTTTCGTGGCCCCAGAGGGAGCTCCACCGAAGGCCCGAAGAGTTCGAATCCCACCGCTGTCGATTTGCAGTCAGATCGGATCTGGTTCTCACCGGAGCGACGGCCTGCCGGCCGAGAGGGAGGAGAGAGAGAGCGGCCGGGTGAATCACGTGCTGGCTTCCGCCAGGTCTTCAACGGCGACGACTGGAAGTCCACCACCCTCATGACTGCCTTTCTCTGGCCAGGCGGCGACGGGAACCGACAACGAGGAAGAACAGGAGGAGGAGGAGGAGGTGTATGATAATGATGATGCTGATGATGATGACGATGATGGTGATGATGATGATGAGGACGAGGACGAGGACGAGGATGAGGATGATGATGATGATGATGATGATGATGATGATGATGATGATGATGATGATGATGATGATGATGATGATGATGATGATGATGATGATGATGATGATGATGATGATGATGATGATGATGATGATGATGATGATGATGATGATGATGATGATGATGATGATGATGGATGATGATGATGATGATGATGATGATGATGATGGTGGTGGTGATGATGATGATGATGATGGTGATAATGATGAGGATGAGGATGAGGAGGAGGAGGAGGAGGAGCCAGAGGAGGAGGAGGAGGAGGAGGAGGAGAGGAGGAGGAGCAGGGGGAGGAGGAGGGAGGAGGAGGAGGAGGAGGAGGAGGAGGAGGAGGAGGAGGAGGAGGAGGAGGATAGTGAAGATGAAGAGAAAAGGGGGAAACTGGGAGGACAATAATGAGGAGAAGGATCGGAGGAGGAGGAGGAGGAGGAGGAGGACCGATAGCCACGCACCGCCAAGCGATTGAGGCGTGTTAGTGGCAGTGTGCCGACCGATCGGTCACGATTTCCCCAGTCCCCATCCTACAATCCGAATTCCCCAACCCTTACCCTTCACTCATTACATTCCGTTTCGGGGACTTCCTCATCCCAGGTTCCCACAGGTGATTCTCCGACCTTTCGACTTCCACAAGAGGTACCACCACGGCTACTTCGGCCGGCCTTGCTTGGCACCGTCGGGGGCGAGAACGTCGAGCTGCTGCACGTCTACTACCACGAGGGCATCAGCACGTTCACTACTTGATCAACATACGCAGCATCAGCCTCACGCCGCACAGCAACTATTTCAAGCGTATCGCAGCGCATTATAGCCACCGTGACTTCCACGTCGAATTCCAGCCATGGCGACGTCATGGGGTGCAACCGCGAGCGGATCGGCAACGGCGATGCCAGAGACGCCAACGAAGCATGCCAACTACGCCAAGATCCACCGCGCTGGCGATTCGAGCAGAGCTCGCACGCTGGAAGAACCACAACCGGACGGACCAGTGGGCCAAGGAAGGCAAAGTGTAGCCCAACAGGAGCAAGGACAAGGCAAAGCAACAACCTGACAGCGAGAAAGATAACATAGAGGACGACACCCATAGTTGCAACGACCACGTCGCCAACGCCATCAGCAACGTCACGCGCACGTGGAGGATCTACGCCACCAGGAGGCACGACTGGGAGCTACCACCCACCGACCCCAAGCTGAACGACGACTGGAAGAAACTTCAGCACATCGAGATGCGGCGGGCCGCAGCAGCCATTGCCAGAAACAGTGCAGCAGGACAGCCGACTACAGACGCAGTGGCACAGGTCGCCTTCACAAAGGCCTTGATCCTCAACAGCATGTCCCTGACGCAACATATGAGGGAAATCTAGACAGCGAAGCAGACGATGTAGGGCTAGTACGAGCACGTCAGGGCCCACCTGCAACATATACAGGCCTACATGAGCGAGTTAGAGAAGAAGATCGAGGAGCTCACCGTTCTCCATCGGGACATCAGCAACGCTGAGAGCTACGGTCACAGCGACGACGAGGCAGCCGACGACGAGGCCGACGGACCCCAACGCGAGGTCCTCTCGGAGAGAATCCCCGGCCCAGCGTTAAGTAGACAGACAAGGGCCGGGGGGGCCACAGAGGGTCACGACGTTGGCGCATTGCTCGGGAGCTCCACGGGCGACAATTGCTTGGGAGGGAGGGAGGGGAGGGAGGGAGGCAGGGAGGGGGGGGGAGGCACCAGGGAAGGAATGTAGGGAGGGAGGGGGAGGCACCAGGGGAGGGAGGGGACGGGAGGGAGGGAAGTGAAAGAGAGGGAAAGGGAGCGGGGGGATGGGAGGAAGGGGGGAAGGAGAATGGAGGTATAGAGGAAAGGGAGGAGGCGGAGCAGCGAGCGAGGGAGGAGGAGCAGAATGGCCCTGGAGGCCGACGCCCCGACGCCAACAACGACTAGTCTCCCTCGATCCGGGGGTAGTCCCGGCACTCGACGGGCGTGGCAAAGGGCGAGGCGGCCTTTCTGGAGGGGTATCAGTGGTCGGTCCGACGCGAAGGCCAGGTGTATCGGGGACTTGATGTTGTACCTCCTCCGGCAAGGCTCGCTTCGCGTGCGAAATTCAAGAGGGTGGTGCTCCATTGAGGTGCTCGCAGGGAAGATGAAGTCAGACGTTTTTTTGTGTAAAACGGTTGCCTTGGCGATGCACGGTTTCACCGTGTTGCCGCCAGGCTCCATTCAGCTCTTGGGGTTCAAAGCATGTGACCATTACTTGCTTAAGGAGCTTTCGGGCACGCGCTGGAAGCACTCGGTTGACGAGGACTCCTGGGAGTTGGGGGAATTGGATCCCCCTACTCCTGTTTTCGTCAGAGCCGTGCAAGGACATTCAGTAGATGTTGTCAGCATTACGCGCACGTGCGCACCTTGCGAGTCTACTAGGTGTCCGCGGACCAGGGAGCGCTGCTGTGCATCACTTCACTGAGAGCGATTCGGGAGTGGATGCGGGGAGAAATTCAGTACCTGCAGGAACATTTAGGTCTTAACGCTTCCGCGGATCACGATGCCATGGGACTTCTCCCTGCGTCCAGGGACATCCCTGGAAATGGCGGCTGACGCGATCCCACGCTGGCTAAGCTCGCGTAGGCTCTCCGTCAGGGATGGCCCCCCTCCTCCGGCGCAGCAGGGCCCCCTGGCTGGTTCAGCTGGTCGGGGGGGTCCCAATGCGACGCCCGCGAGAGGGGAGTTGAGTCCATCATTGCTCGCGTTCCTTTGGTTTGTGCGTGAGAGCCATCAGACCACATGGGAACGCGTAGTGGCATCTGATCCTCCCTCCTCCTCGCCTTACATGCATGTTGCACATAGTCAGCGCCAGCCTGATCCATTCCCCTCTTCCCCTCTTTCCCCTCCTCCCCGTGGCGAGGGCGTGGCACGCAGCTGCTCGGCAACATTTTGTTTTACACTGAGGCAACGGTCTCGGTGCCACCAGTGGCGCGGGGGGGGTTTCGAACAGGCAGGCCCCGCACCAGACGCTAGACAGGCCTCCTTCGGACATGGTGCCCGTTTTCGCCCTGGCCGCGTGGCCGATTGGGAATCCCTGTGGGGTCAGAGTGCGTTGTCCAGCTCAGGAAAGATACGGTGCTCGTATCGCTGTGGTCTTTCGCCAGAAACTTGGAATTCCAGTCACCGTGGCAGGAAGCCTTTTAATCGAATCGGCTTTCGAAGCGGCTTCCGCGCTGCAGATCAGGCCTAATTTCCCCCTTTCCTCTCTTCCCGCCTCCCTCAGCCCCCCCTTCTCCTTCTTGCTGTGTCGGCTTGCAGAGCATGGCCAGCTGGACGATTGCGGCCTTTGAGGGCCAGGACGCTCGACAGGAGCGCTCATTCGCCCTCCTCCCCTCCGCCTCCCTCCGCCCCCCCTTGCTGTTCAAAATCGCGGTGCCGATTTGTGGTGCCTGGTCGGCTAGAGCGGCCGAGGAGCCCAGGACGCCCGACAGGAGCGCACAGCCGCTCTTCTCCTCTCCGTCCTCCGCCTCGTTCGCCCTTCTCCCCCCCTCCCCCCTCCTCGTTGGCGGTCCACGCTGACGGTCGGCGTCGTCGTTACTTCAGTGCTTTTCTCCATCGTCGATGCCCGGGCGCGGTGCAGTTGTAGTTCGCATGGTGAGGCGCATGATGTGTTTTTTTGTTTATGTTTCTCCCGCATGGCACCGCGTTGGAGGAGGGTGGATCTTCTTGCTGCGCTCGCCATCTGCCCGCGGGCCCGTCGCTTCCCCGCGGGCGGCGCAGGCGCCACGCCAAGCGTACTTGCCGGGCGCTTTGCCCCTTCTTGCCCGGAAAGGTGCGGTTGGCCTCCGAGCGGGCTCGAGCTGCCGCTCCATCGTGCCAGCGAGGCTCTCATTTCTCTCTGTTCCTCCTTCTCCTCCTCTCTGCTCTGATCCATTGGAGCACGTCCTTCACGTTTCAACTCGCCGGTAGCATCGTAGGCTCGCACACTTCGCGTAGCCCCTCTGCCTAAACATGAGGGTTTGCTCCAGCTCAGATGCTTTCAGCTCGTGTGGGTCCTCTGTGCGGGCACCCTCTCTGGCATTGTCCGTGGAGTCTGGTCTACGCACGCGCGAGATTCAGTTGATAATTGCCCGCTGGCTCCTCCCTTCTGTCTCCTCCTCCTCCTCCTCCTCTGCTCCTCCTTACTGCACGTGGTGTCGTCTACCCAGCCGGCCCTTCAGTGTACTGCGTCGCCGCTGTCGAGCTTCAGGGGGGTGCGTGCCTGCGGCCGCGAGCTTCGTGGGGCATGATGATAGCCCCCTTGAGGGGAAGCGGAGTTGAGCAGCGTGGTTGGCATTCGTAGTTTTTTGTTTTTGCATTCGTCACCGCATGGAGAACTGGCAAAGCGAGCGAACCTGCAGGCGATTTCTGCGCGGAAAAAACAATCCCAAGGTGAGGCTGAGGCAAGGGTTCCGACTGTCCCCGGGCGGGGCGTTACTTTCAAACCGACGTCCCCGATGGGTAGACATCTCGAATATTTTCACGTTGTGCCACGTCAGGGAGACGAGAGATAGAACAGCCCGCGCCGTTTGGAGACGAGAGCATCATGCGCGGCCTTTCGTGGGCGAGCAAGGACATGAATCTGTTTCTCCAGCTGCTGAGTTTGTCGCCGGCGTTCTGCTCGCAGACGGGTAGACCGCCTGAGATGCCCAGTGCAGATGCAGATGGGCTCATGGCTCCGCCCAGGAAAGATGACGGTCGCTATCTTTGCGTGCTGCTTCGCGAGTTTCGTTTGGGATTCGGGGCTTGCCCTTCCTGCTTTACGACCGTCCCTCGGCCCCCTGCTAGGCGGAATTTCTCAGTTCGGAGATCGATCGATGAGGGCGATCCGGGAGAGCCTGAGGGATCAGTGTTTGCAGCTGATCGTGGAACCCGAGGGCGTCGGCCTGTCCTGTCCGTCCAGGACAGGCGTGATAGGCAGGGGTCCTCCTCGGCCACCGTCGACAATAACCTTCATATGTCTGAGTGGTCCAAGCGGCGGTGGTTTGAGAATCTTTAAAAGCGGGTTGAAATTGTTCTGTGGAGGACAAGCGTTTCCAAACAGTGAACCGGGGTCCGTTCCCGCGTGGGAAGCCACGGCCCCGCGTGGCCGCCCCCTTACCAGAAATAAACGGCACTTCCGGCTCACTGTTCTGCTCGAGAAGAGGTTCATCGCATGCATCGGCGACAGGAGAGAAAGCCCCTGCTGCCTCTGGGCGGCGCGATTTATTTCCTAATCAGTGTTTGCACTGGAGGGGTCCTAGCGAACATGGAAGAGATGGGCGAAAGTAGCCGGCCGATTTCGGCGGGCGGCACTCGGCGAGCAGCTTTCGGTGGGCGCCCCCTCAAGAGATTGGCGAAAGTGGCTGGCCGATTGCGGTTGGCGGCTCTCGGTGGGTGGCTGTCGGTGGGCGCCCCCTTTCCCTCTCTTTGATTTTTTTTTTTTTTCTCTCTCTCTCTCTCTCACTCTCGCTCTCTATCTCTATCTCTATCTTTCCCTCTCTCCCTCTCTCTCTCTGTCTCTCTTTCTCTCTTTCTCTATCTCTGTGCCTCTCTATATCGGTTTCACTCTTTCGTGCTTCCCCGATGCACACTGCATTATCTCATCGTTCTGGCGGATCTTTTTCCTCCGTGTCATGCAGTCTCTCTCTCTCTCTCAATCCCCTCTCGCGAAACTGCGGCCAGGCATGGTGCTCGCAGAATTTTCGGGCCATCCACTGATTGGGGTTATCCCCAGTGCAATGGGAATCGATGGATCAGTTCTCCGCGCCCATGGCGCGCCCCCGCTGGCGATCTCTGATTGGGGGGGCGCGAGGAACGAAGGCGCCGCGCCCTGTGAGGGGTGGGAGCTGCTGGGGGATGCCATGCTGAGCGAGGGCAGTATCGCCCCTTCGCCGCCCCGGCTTAGTTTGCCGAGGCTGCCGTTTCAACCAGTGGTCGGGGGCGGCCAAGAGGGGGGTGATGACTAGGGGGGGGGGATATCATGGCGTGGGCCATGATATTTCCTCAGATTTCATGGCGCCTCTTCTTCTTTCATTACGTCCCTGGGCCCCCCCCCTGGTCGCGCACGTGCCGCCAGCCATGATTTGCACCCCCCCCACTTTGACGCACCCCTCTCCTGTTGGCCGCCGCCCCGAGGCGGGCCTGTGGCTATAGCCGAGCAGCAGGGCCCTGAGATCCCGAATCCTGCGGCGCAAGCGGATGATCCCGTTGCGGACATGGGAAATTTTCGTGACGGGCCCCGTCGATCTGCCGGGTCAGTCGCCCGCCGAAGGAACCTAGTCGGGGCATGGGAATGGTAGACCCGTGGCTTGGGACCACAAAGAGGCCCCGCAGGCAGTTCAGCCGCTTGCGCCAGTCGTCTTTTCGTTGCGCCCCGGGGACAGTGAAGACGAAATCGTATTTCGATTTGATTCGCTGCTGTGAACCCCGCGCGCGCGAAGGACCGTGCCGCGGTGGTAGTGCTTCCAGACGGGCAACCAATCGATATCCTCACACGCAGTGGCTCGGAGGATCAGCCATGTCCTGATTTGGATGAAAGTCCCGACCTGTCAATATACGCCCCTGCATCTGAGGACCATGCGAAAAGCGTGGCGTCCTCGAAAATGATGGAGTACGCGCAGGAAGCGGACAGTAGCGATGAGAGTCGTGAGCCGTCCAAGTTCCACAAGATCTTCGCCGTTCACCTCTGGAAAGCTCCTAAGTACAACGCTGAGTTGTGGGATCAGAGGATGGCCCAATACGACGAACAAACTGCCGCGATCGCGTTTGGCGTCATCCGTGCATAAAAAGACAGTGGTAGGCCTACCGTCGGCTCAGCCGACGATGTGGATCTCGTAGAGTTTGTTGATGCCGGCGAATCTACTGCCGGAAAGACCGATAAAACAAGATGGCGGGCACCGAGGCCGCTGCCGGCTCAGCTGGTAACTTTGCCCTGGGGGCCAAGGCCAGTCCAATGTGCATGCCATTGCCTGTGGCCGCTGCTGACTCACTCAGCGATGGTGCTCTGGGCCCGGATGCTGCAATGCAGGTGGGTGATGCCCCAGGTTCGCCCGATGGGGGGATATGGTGCCTCCTCCTCCTGCGCCGCCTGATTGCCGGACGTCTCAACCGTCGCCCCCAACAAGGCCTGCCCTCGGGAGCGCCGGCGGTCGGTGTGCCGCCACCTGAGGCTAGACGCACTGACGTTCGTGTCGGCGACCTCCCGATTCCTGTAGAGGGACCGTCAGTTGCTGCGGCTTCCGTGGCATCTTCGGCGATGAAGCAGAGAGGTCGTGACATCCAGAGGGAGTGTGACAACGACGAGACAGGAATTTGGCATGCCGATAAGCACAGCTGGGGAGGAGCTGGATGGTGGGTGCGGTGTGCCATCAGTACCATCGAATATGGCAGTGGCGGGCCATGCGTGATTACAGCTACAAGTTCTTTACCACAGCGGGAAAAGGTACAGGAAAGGGAAAGTTACAACACGTGCGTTTGGATACGGGTTTGTTGGATGGAATCGATCTCATCGACTGCCGAATGCTTGACGAACGTACGGTTGAACCGTGCGTTGATTTGGACTTGAACACGTCTGTGACCATTTGATGAATGTGCGGCTCAGGTGCATGTTGGGGGCTGCATGTATTTGAAGATCGGGGTACAATTGTTGACCAAGAACGTTGTTATGAGCTGGCGCACTGTATTATTTCTGGGATGCGTCAGTCTGCTTCGGCCCGCTTCAAGGATTTACCAGGATTAGATGCTATCCCCCTCCGTGCGCCGTCAATGCGTGTTTGGGGCTGGCGCCAGGGGGGCCAACGTGCCTGGGGATGGCTTCAGGTTTGGCAACTCCGAAGGGAGCCGTGGCTACGCCTACGCATCCTGCCGTGGGCGGAGTTAACATGGCCCCGTCCCTTCCGTCATGTGCCGCCGCCGTCGCCATCATTGACAATCGGCGTTGGTCATCGAGTGGGCCGCAACTGCATACGGCTGCCAGTACGTTGTGAAACAGGTGCGTGCGCCTCCCTCTAACGCGTGGGTGTCTACATATTCATGTACTTGTTAGTGTCTGCTTAACTGATGTACTTTCATACAATGGCCAGGTCCATGAAGATCCAACCTTCTGCGGAGGTCGACGACTTGATGATCGTAGAACAGTATGGCAGACCAATCATAATGTCAGAATCTCTGGATCTTCTGCCACACAGCTTGTTCACGCGTGTTCTCACTGGTCCGTGAGATTTATACGCAAATCCACTTCTCTTCGCAGCACTCGTTTCAGTGTGAATCATGCTCAGATCCACTCGTAATCAGACTCGGTTACATGTAGACAGTGTAGACTCACTCACCCTCATGCCCACTCCATCTCAGACCCTCACGGCGATGTAGCAGCCATTGCATTTGAGTCTCCCAACGGGGTCCCGGCCAGTGGTATTGCACGGACGTGTTCTTTCCCAGATTGTCAGAACCTCTCAGGCAGAACGCCCGTGTGGGGAAGGAAAGGAAGTGGGCACGCTTCTTTTCAGAGCGTCGTGGCCACCGCGATGCGTCGTGCGTCGCACTTGGTCCTCCCAAAAAGGTGGGGGGCCAGGGGGAGTTCACGGGCCAGTTCGCGCCCCCATTGGGGGGGTCTGTCAGGCAGAATGCCAGTTTTGGGGAGTGGGCGCACCTCTCTCCAGTGATTGGTGACCAGCGCGATGCAGCAGGCATCGGGCGTGGGTCTCCCGAGGGGGAACTGCACAAGCCCGGCTTATTCTCGGGCAGACGGGAATTCTCGGGCAGAGCCCCCGTTTCCCCCCTTGACGTGGCCAAGTCTCTTTTTCAAAGCCCCCTGACCATTGTGATGTAGCAAGCGTCGCGCTCGGGCCTCCCAGGGGGGTGCCAACAAGGGGCATTTCACGGGTTCGCTCGCGTCCAGATGGTCGGGACTCTTCAGACAGGAAGGGCCGTTTTGAAATGTGGGTGCATGTCTCTTCGGTTACCCATGCTCACCGAGATGTAACAAGCCTCGCAAGGGGGTTGCCGACCAGGATTGCGCGGGTTCGTTCGCTCCCATACTGCCAGAACATCTAAGGCGGAATTCCCGCTTCTGCATTTTTTGGGGTGGGGGGTTGGACGAGATTCTTTCCGAAGGTCCCGTGGTCACCACGATGTATCATACATCCCACTTAGGCCTCACACAATGGTGCCTACCATTGGCATTGCATGGGCCCCTTCGCTCCTTGGGACCACCCATGCCGAACGCCAGTTTTTGGGAAGTACACTCGTCTCTTATCAGAGACCCGTGAGCACCGCAATGGGGTTCACCAAGGTGGTGCCGACCAGGGGTATTGCACGGGCCCGCTCGAGCCCAGAATTCGTTTGCGGAATCGCACGCATCTCTAGCCGTCGGTGTCGCGGTGGGCTCGCCACATCTCCCTCGCCCTTGAGGGGGGGCGTCTTGCAGCGTTTGAAGCCTACACGGGCGCACTGGTGATCGTTTCTTCTGCCGCCCCCCTCAGGGGTCATTTTCGCGGTCTTCTTCTGCCTGAACTTGCTGATCTGGGGAGAGAAGTCTTCAGGCGCAGTGCCATTTACTACCATGTTCGCGCTGCTTGTCCTCTGGTTCCCGACCGGGTGGAAGGACCGTGAGGGCATATGGACGGCAGGATCTGGGCATGTGGAAGTATTGAGGGAGGGATTTAGATGTATTTAGGAGGTATTTAGGAGGAGGTATTCAGAGGTTTCTGTTGAGGTATTTCCGGATTTGCCGCCCTGGGCATATTGAGGTATTTTGGGACGCCAGGATTTTTTCACCGGAGCTTACCCACCTCTTGGCGTGATGGTCGGGAGCACACGGTCGTGTGTCGGCTAGTTTTGAGGGCAGCACTTCGGGGAGACCTGCGAACGTACGGCGCGAACCAGTGATTCTGATGATGCCCTGCTCGCCCGAACGGTGAGTCTCGTCCTGTGCGTGTGCGTGTGTGTGTGTGTGTGTGTGTGTGTGTGTGTGTGTGCGTGTGCGTGCGTGCGTGTGTGTGTGTGTGTGTGTGTGTGTGTGTGTTTTTCTCTTTTTTTCCACCGTGTACGTGTGTCTCCGTGTATGTGTGTGTTCACAGTTTTGATGATGCCCTGCTCGCCCGCTCGGTGAGTCTCGTCCTTTCTCTGTGTGTGTGTGTGCTTGTGTTTTTTTTTTCCGCTGTGTGTGTCTGTGTGTGTGTGTGCATTTGTCTGTGTGTGTGTGTGTGCGTGTTTTGTTCCACAGATTCTGATGATGCCCTGCTTGCCCGAACGGTGAGTTTTGTCCTGTGTCTGTGTGCGTGTGTGTTTGTTTGTTGAGCTTGCTAATGCGACCATGTATGAGCTGCGGCCTTGCTACGATGGCGGGCTGCAAGGGTTGCCAGGCTATGCGGAGGATCCCTCGTGAGGAATGGGTGCCTGGGCAACGCACTCCGGTCTGCGTCATGTGCAATGCGAAGGAAGGGGAGTTCCACTCCTGCTGTGGCACGCTGCATTTCCACCCTAGGCCCCCACCCATCTACAGGCCGCTGAACATTTCTCCAGCACGGGGAGGCGTGGCTGATAGAGAGTACGAGGGCGACATCGTGCTACGGTCGGGAACATCAGCTCTTTCTGAGGCGTCGGCATGAATCACACCTATTCTGGTGAAGATAGTGTTCTGATGGCTTCGACCTGCCCATACCCATCCCCTCTGGCTGAGGAGCTGGGAGTCGGTGGCTCGCCCCGCCTTGACGTTGCTGCTTTTGCTCGCTCTCCCGCCCCTTCTCCCTTGCTCTTCCTTTCTTGGAAACGCCCGTGCATGTTGTTTTTAAGAGCCATGGGCTCTTTACTCGGTCAGTTCGTTGGCAATATTTGGTGCACACAACCCATGCGGCTTAGCCGCCCTTGGTGCCTAGCTCTATTTTGCGCCCCGTCCGCGTCACGCGTGGCATGTCCCACTCGTCACCTGGTGCGGCCAGTGCCCTTGCCTCCAGCGCCGCCTTAGGCGGCCTCCCGCCGTCGGCTCGGCCCCGCTGACACCTCGCCAGCTGTATTGGCTCAGCTGCCGGGGCCTTGGCACAGTCGGCTGACTGTCCTCCGTTCTGCCGTGCCGTTGGCACGACCGCGCGTCTCCTCGCGTTGCCCCCGCTTCTCCACTCCCTTGTGGCCGCTTTTATGTGTACTGGTCACGATAAACAAGCACAAGAGCGAGAATGCAATCGAGAAGTGAGCTTCGGCGCTCCGGCGCCTCCGTTGCGCTCTTGGAGGGCCGCCCTCCGGCGCGCACTGCACCGATCCGACACATCGATTCGATCCTGGGCTCTCCTGGGGATGCTGTACCCCTCGTGGGCCCTCCCGCTGGAGGGCTGCGGATGCTGCTGGTGCGGCACTCCCTTTTGGCGCTTGCTCGGCCGACTGTCCCGGCGGCAGTCCGTGTGCGAGCGCCGTGGGCGGACACGTCGCCCGTGGCCGCCCTGTCGTGTCGGCACGTCCGCGCGGCTCCTCGTTCTCTCCGCCTCGCCTCCTCCTCTTCTGCCTCTCCGCCTCTCCTCTTTCTCTCCGCCTCGCCTCTCCGCCTCTCCTCTTTCTCTCCGCCTCTTTCTCTCCGCCTCTCCTCTTTCTCTCCGCCTCTCCGCCTCTCCTCTCCTCTTTCTCTCCGCCTCTCCTCTCCTCTTTCTCTCCGCATCTCTCCTTTCTCTCCGCCTGTTTCTCTCCGCCTCTCCTCCTCCGGCGCCTCTTTTGCTTCCGCCTCCTCCTCTCTTTCGTTTGCGTCGGCGGCTGTCTGGCTGGGTGGCCAACCCGCCACGTTCGGCTGCCTCGCAGCGGCACAGTCTCATTGGCCCTGCTCCGTCTTGCAGGCCTGGGGCTTGACAGACCCTCTGGTGCTGGCTCGGGGCGCGCCCAGGATGCTCTCGCACTGCGGTTTCGGCGCTTGCAGTATTGTGCATGGCCGATGACGCAGCTTGCGCGCGCTGCGTTTGACGCTTCCGCGCGGCGGCTTTTACACATTCCTCAGCCCTGCGTCGCCTGTCCGTTGTTGTCCACCCCACCCACCCGCTTCGGTCGCCAGGATGGCCACACCACCAATCTGTGATAGCATTTCTTGCGTCTCACTGTCGACCACCGCTGTTGTGACCCAGTGGCTGCAATTCGTCGCTGGCTCTCGCGCTTCAGTTGACTCTGAGTTGACTTATCTCCTCGTTTTCTGGTCGCTGCACGTCTCGCTTGGACTTACAGGTCGTCTTTCACATCCACTCCTTGCATATGCTGTTTGCGCGCCGCGATATCGACAACGTTCGGTCGCAATTCGCACCTCCATCAGCTGTTCGTGCTTGAGGACCCTCTGCGCCGCCGGCTGAAACATGTGTTTGTTTGTTTTTGTGGTTTCTTCCACGGTGTGTGTGTGTGTGTTTGTGTCTGTGTGTGTTCCACAGATTCTGACGACGCCCTGCTCAAACGAACGGTGAGTCATGTCTTGTCCGTGTGTGTATGTTTGTGTGTTTTGTTTTTTGTTTCCACCGTGTGTGTGTAAGCTTTTTACAAATAAAGCAGGTGATGCCCTGCTCGCCACACCGGTGCGGTTGGTCCTGTCTGTGTGATTTTTGTTTTTTCCCAACCATCCTGTGGTGTTGGGTCCTTGTTTTGAAGAGACAACGCCCCGCGTTCTCCTTCCTCCTTCCTCCTTCTTTCCTCCGCCCCTCCTCCTCCCCCTCCACCCTCCTCCGCAGTTCGCATGCGTCTCCCTGACCCCCTGCAGTGTTTCGTGGCCCCAGAGGGAGCTCCACCTCAGGCCCCAGTGGCGCAGCCCGCGTGCGTCTTCCACACCCAACACAGCGTTTCGTGGCCCCAGAGGGATCTCCACCGAAGGTCCCAATGGCGCAGCCCGCATGCGTCTACCCCACCCAGTACAGCGTGTCGTGGCCCCACAGGGAGCTCCACCGAGGGCCCCAGTGGCGCAGCCCGCATGCGTCTTCCTCACCCAACACAGCGCTTCGTGGCCCCAGGGGGAGTTCCACTGAAGGCCCCAGTTGCGCAGCCCGCATGCGTCTCCCAGACCCAGTACAGCGTTTCGTGGCCCCATAGGGAGCTCCACCGAAGGTCCCAGTGGCGCAGCCCGCATGCGACTTCCACCTTCGGCACAACGTTTCGTGGTTCCCCAGGAGCTCCACAGTGGCGCAGCCCGCATGCGTCTCCCCCCACCAGTGCACCGATTCGCGGCCCCGTAGAGAGCTCCACCGAAGACCCCAGTTGCGCAGGCCGCATGCGTCTCCCCCACCCAGTGCAATGTTTCGTGGCCCCATAAGGAGCTCCACCGAAGGTCCTAATGGCGCAGCCCGCATGCGTCTTCCACATCCAGCACAACGTTTCGTGGTCCCAGAGGGAGCTCCACCGAAGGTCCCAGTGGCGCAACCCGCATGCGTCTCCCCAGCTCAGTACAGCGTTTCGTGGCCCCATAGGGAGCTCCACCGAAGGTCCCAGTGGCGCAGCCCACATGCGTCCCCCTCATCCAGTGTAGTGTTTCGTGGCCCCATGGGGAACCCCACAGAAGGTCCCAGTGACGCAGCCTTCTCATGCGTCTCCCACACCCAGTACATAGTTTCGTGGCCTCATAGGGCGCTCCACCGAAGGCCCCAGTGGCGCAGCCCGCACGCGTCTCCCACACCCAGTGCAGCGTTTCGTGGCCACATAGAGAGCCCCACCGAAGGTCCCATTGGCGCAGCCCGCGTGCGTCTCCCACACCCAGTCCATCTTTTCGCGGCCCCGTAGAGAGCTCCACCGAAGACCCCAGTTGCGCAGGTCGCATGCGTCTCCCCCACCCAGTGCAATGTTTCGTGGCCTCGCAGAGAGCTCCACCGAAGGCCCCAGTTGCGCGGACCGCATGCGTTTCCCCCACCCAGTGCTATGTTTCGTGACCCCATATGGAGCTCCACCGATGGCCCCAGTTGCGCAGGCCGCATGCGTCTCCCACACCCAGTCATTGTTTCGTGGCCCCTCAGGGAGCTCCACCGAAGGTCCCAGTGGCGCAGCCCGCATGCGCCTCCCCCGCCAGGTAGAGTGTTCCGTGGCCATATCAGGGGCCTCCACTGAAGACGATAGTTACAACTGCGGTATTCACAACTGCATATGGTTGGGTCCTTTGCCAGGCTAATTTCTCCACTGTGTGTGTGTGTCTCTGTGTTTTGGCAGGTTGTGATGGTGCCCTGCTCGCCCGAACGGTGGGTCTCGTCCTTGTCCTGTCTGTTCCGGCAGGCCTATCGGCAACCGCCGTGCCACGGGCAGAATGGCAGCGCGCAGGGAGGCCATCGGGACATCACTGTCCCCGAGGCCCCCAGAGCCGGTGATGCTCACATTTCCTTCAAAAGCCGTTGAGATTGATCTTCCTCTAGCCCCACCTCTGCCCCTACCCCACCCTTGCGTCCCCCCGATCTGCGAGTCGCGCAGCCTTCGTTTCATTTTGGATCCTGGCAGGATGGGGTTCCGCAGAAAGCATCCGTCCGCCTCCGCCAGGCCAGGGCCATCCTGGGCCCGCCCTCTTGAGGGCCCCTGGAGATCCAAGGGACACGAAGTGCGTGAGGGGTGTGCTGAGTCGACGCTCCCAGGAGCCGCTTCTGGAGCCGGTGCAT